GCTGTGCCAATCGAAGCCAGGAGCCAGGAGCTTCTTTCGGGTCTCCCACGCAGGTGCAGGGGCCCAAGAACTTGGGCCATCTTGTACTGCTTTCCCAGGCCATAGCAGAGAGCTGGATTGGAAGTGGAGCAGTGGGGTCTCGAACCAGCGCCTATATGGGATGCCGGCACTGCAGGCCAGGCCAGGGTGTTAACCTGCTGTGCCACAGCGCCAGCCCCTGATTTAATCCTTGATAGATAGACCTGTGTTTTCCTGAACTGATGAAGAGTAAGTTGTGGATGTCAATGATACTGCATTCCTTAATACTTCGTGTGTCTCCTAAGAACAAAGACATCATTGTTATGTCATACAAGAATTTAACATTGACTATAAAGATATTATCTGGTATTCAAATTTCTCCAGTTATCTCTAAAATACATTATATAAATCCAGGCTTCTGTCCACAGGTCTCACATCACATTTGATTGTCATCTCTTACACTCTAGAATAGTCCCTGTCTATTTAGTCTTTTTACATTGATGTTTTTAAAGAAACCAGGTCATTTGTTTTGTAGAATACCCAACATTCTGGAGTAATAGCATTATTTTCTCATGTTTATATTCAGGTTAAACATTTTTTAGCAAGAATATTATGTACTTGAGTATTTTGTGCTTCTCATTGCATGATGTGGGAAAGGCAAGTGATACAGGTTTGTCCTCTTCTTGGTGCTACGAAACTTGATCACTTGGTTAAGTGGTACCATGTTAGTAAGAGAGGGTGTCTTTTACTCAGTGACTTCAGCTTCCGTTGCTGAACCCTTCCTGTGTCAGTTACTGAACTGATGGTTGTAGAGCCTCGCATTTGTGATTGAATGAATTATTCACCATCCTATGAACCGAGAGCATTCCCCCCCAGCTTCCTAGTGAAATGTATGTGTTTCAGTGTATACCAGGTCAACTGTTCTGTGTTGGTTGCCTGGTTACCCAGTTTAAGGAAGTAAAACTGATTTCTGGCACTGTTAGTTTCTCACTAGTCTCATAGTTATATGCTAGAAACAACCCAGCTGAGCTTTGTTCATTTTTTTGTTAATAGTTATTTTTGCTTTCTACTCTTAGCGTGGATGATTTGGCCCTGAGCATATATCCACCTATGTGTCATTTGACAGTGCGAATCAATGTAAGTACCAGCTTTGAGGGAATAGCTACAGACCTGATGGGTAGAATTTCACTCATCATTATATAGTGTGTGTATTTATTTATCATACTTGGATGTATGCACAGTAGCAATGTCACAATTCTTACATGTGTTTGAGCTTGATAAACATTTGCTAAAGTTGAATTATAATAACCATGAACTTTGGTAGTTTCCTCTGCCGTAATCACTTGCCTAATCGCTTCTTTTTTTTTTTTTTTTTAAGATTTATTTTATTTATTTGAAAGACAGAATTACTGAGAGAGGTAGAGCCAGAGAGAAAGGTTCCATTCCACAGGTTCACTCCCAAAGTGGCCACAACGGCCAGAACTGAGCTGATCCAAAACCAGGAAGCAGGAACTTTTTCCCAGTCTCCCACACGGGTGTAGGGGCCCAAGGACTTGGGCCATCTTCCACTGCTTTCCCAGGCCACAGCAGAGAGCTGGATCAGAAGTGGAGCAGCCAGGTCTAGAACCGGCGCCCATATAGGATGCCAGTGCTGCAGGCCAGGGCTTTAACCCACTGGGCCACAATACCTACCCCAACTAATCATTTCTAAAAGGCCAATGATGGGACTGGCATTGTGGTGTAGTGGGTAAAGCCGTCACCTGCAACACTGGCATTCCTTATGGGTGTTGGGTCTAGTCCTGGCTGTTCTACTTCCAATCAAGCTCCCTGCTAATGTGCCTGGGAAATCAGCGGAAGATGTCCCAAGTGCTTGGGCCCCTGCCACCCATGTGGGAGACCCGGAAGAAACTCATAGCTCCTCGCTTTGGCTTGAACCAGCCCCGATCTTTGTAGCCATTTGGGGAGTGAACCAGCAGATAGAAGACCTCTCTGTATTTCTTTCTCTCTCTCTTTCTCTCCCCCTCTCTGTAGCTCTGCTCTTCAAATAAATAAAATAGATCTTGAAAAAAAGAGGACAGTGACCTTTCAAAGGAAAGTCTTAAACATACTGTGTTATAGGAACCTCTCCACCTATTGTGACAAGTATCTAGACAGAAGTAAGTGTTCCAGAAACATCCTCTGTTCTGATTTAAACATATTGTGTGATTTAACCATTGGGAGTCAACTCCTTTATAAAAACCATGATTTTAGTATATTCTTTCAAGTACTGTGCCTTTTAATAGAGGGATTTCTATTCTCTTATTTTTGTTCATTTTCTGAACAAAGTTCAAAACAAGTTCTTATCACTAATGTTGTTGAAAAAAGAACTGCCAGATGGCTTATATTTTATAGTCAGATGTAACAGTTCTAAAATTTGATAAATTGGATAATGGATAGTAGACTCACCAAATTTATGTTCATGATATGCAGACATTTTGAAGTAGAATACGTCCTTCTGAGGCATTGACTTTTTTTTGGCATTAAATGTTTAAAAATTGACTTCCTAAGCAATAATGTCTTTAGCAATATGCCTTGTCAGTTATCTCAAACATATATCTACTATGGAAATTTTTTTAAATGTGCTGTATTTGTGTATTTTTTAAAGATTTATTTTATTTATTTGAAAGGCAGAGTAACAGAGAGAGATATCTTCCATACTCTGATTCACTCCCCAAGTGGCTGCAATGACTGAAACTCCATGTTGGTCTCCCAAGTGGATGGCAGGGGTCGAAGTACTTGAGCCATCTTCTGCTACTTTCCCAGACACATTAGCAGGGAGCTGGACGGAGCAGGCAGGACTCAAACCAGCACTCAGATATGGGATACGGGCATTATAGGCAATGGCTTAACCAATTGCGGCACAGTACTGGCCCATGTGTATTATTTTATATTGGTGACATACTTATGTCCCATATTATCTTGATATTGATGTCCTTAAATTTCTATACATTTTTAAAAGGAACATTAGTTGTTTCTACTTTACATTCTGAATTGTGAACAATTGGGAGAAATTTAGGTTATCTTCCTTTTCCTTTTAAAAATAATTTAAATTTAAAAACTTAGTAAGAATGTTATAGCAGAAGTATTAATAAGATTTTGCAAAATAGAAAAGAGCCCATGATCCCACCACCCTAACCTACATGGCATTTTTGTCTTTGTATATTGCCTTAAGTGTGGTGTTTTAAAAAAAATTATTTGAAAATCAGAGTTACAGAGACAAAGGGAGAGGGAGGGAGGGAGGGAGGGAGGGAGAGAGAGAGAGAGAGAGAGATCTTCCATGTGCTGGTTCAATCCCCAGATGGCCACAACAGCCAGAGCTGGGCCAGGCCAAAGCCAGGAACCAGGAGCTTCATCCAGGTCTCCCACGTGGGCGGCAGGGACCCAAACAGTTGGAACATCCTCCACTGCTTTTCCTGGGCCATCAACAGGGAGCTGGATTGAAGTGGAGCAGCCAAGACTCAAACCGGTGCCTATATGGTATGCCGGAGTCGCAGGTGGTGGCGTTACTTGCTGTGCCACAACACTGGCTCCAGAGGTTCTTTTTTCAAAATACTTTTTTATTACTTGGATCTTTTAAAATACTAGAGCTCTGCTTTCCCTTCTGTGCTGGAGCTCAGGGTGAGTAACTTCTCTGTTTCTTTTCTAGTCCGCAAAACTTGTGTCTGTTTTAAAGAAGGCACTTGAAATAACAAAGTAAGTATGAGAACTTCTCCCCAGATAGCCTTTTGGAAAAAAAAAAAAAAACTGATTTCCTCTCTAGCCACTGTCAACTCCCAAGCCCCCATTTCAAGGAGTGGGCAAGGGTGAATGTGGGGGTCTTTTCTCAACTTTGGTTGTGGAGCACTTGTTTCTGCGAAGCAGCTTGCCTTTTCTTGAGTGGTTTCTGCTGCTCTCCCTTGAGGACAGGTGTTTCCCTCGGCACTGTAAAAAGTTTAACTTCTTTTTTTCTCTACTTCATTTGCAGAGCAAGTCATGTGACACCTCAGCCGGAAGATAGTTGGATTCCTTTACTCATGAATGCCGTTGATCATTGCATGAACAGAATCAAGGAGCTCACTCAGAGTGAAATTCAGTTATGAGTGTTCAGGTTCATTTGTACTCTGCTCTCTCTCTCTCTCTCTCTCTCTTTCTCTCTCTCTCTGTCTTTCTCTCTCTCTCTGTGATAGCCAGGCTCTGATGTCTGCTTTTTAAAATGGAGCCAGAATGCTTGCTGGGATACAAAGGGAGTTCCTGTCTATATTTAACAAAAAACACTTTTACCAAAGATTCTTGGTTAGACCAGTCTGGCAAATCATATGGGTGTGATATATTTTTCTGTGCTAGATACAATTGATAATTGCATGCATTCGTGATCCTGAATTGACTCTCAGAGGTTACTAGGGAAACTGCCTTATTTGTAATAAATTATGTTGTTTCATTGTTAAAGATGGTGGTGGTCTCAATAAAATGCTGACCTGCCAGTGATTAAATGAGTACCCTTCCAGAGTTTCTTCCTATCAGAAAAACAGCAGTTTGAAGCTAGAACATTGCTTTCATTTGGGTTTATAGGTCTACAGATCTGATTCTGATCAGAAGTCTATTTAGAACAATTGCCTTCAATTTATTTGGAGAAGGTGACTCCAATGCCTCTCTTAGTACTTCAGCATATTCTGTGATATTATTCTTTTTTTTTCAAAATTATTCATACCTTGTAATTGGTTGGTATTTCTAGTAAGTCTCTCAATCTGTATCATTTTTTTAAGATTTATTTATTTATTTGGAAGGCAGAGTTACAGAGAGGCAGAGGCAGAGATCTTTCATCCACTGGTTCACTCCCCAGATAGTCCTTCTGAATGCTGTCCCAGTTTACTCAATGCCTCTAAAATATATTAAACAGATTTGTTTTCCTTATGCATACCTATATTGTTGTACATGCACCCATCATTACTACTTGTGTCCCCAAATGTAAATATCACATTTTTTAAAAAAGATTTATTAATTTATTAGGAAATGAGTTACAGACAGAGAGAGGGAGAGAGAGGGAGAGAGAGAGAGAGGTCTTCTTTCTGCTGGTTCACTCCCCAAATGGCCGCAAAAGCCAGAGCTGGACCCATCTGAACCCAGGAGCCAGGAGCTTCTTCCTCGTCTCCCACATGGGTGCAGGGGGTCCAGGCACTCGGGCCATCTTCCACTGCTTTCCCAGGCCATAGCAGAGAGCTGGATCAGAAGTGGAGCAGTTGGGCTTCGAACTGGCAGCCATATGGGATGCCAGCATTGCAGATAGAGACTTAACCTACTTTGCCACAGTGCCATCCCTGAAAATTTTTTCTTTTTTTTTTTAAAGGCAGAGAGACAGAGACAGAGATCTCATTTTCTGGTTCATTTTCCAAATGCCTACAACAGCCAAGCCTGGGACAGTCTAATGCTAGAAGCCTAGAACTCAATCTGGGCCACCTACACGGTGGCAGAGACCCAGGTACTTGATCCATCATCTGCTGCTACCCAAGGTGCGCATTAGAAGGAAGCTGGATTGGAAGTAGACAGGCCAGGGCTCAAACCGGGAACTCTAATATATGGGATGCAGGTGCCCCAAGTGGTGACTTAACCACTGTGCCAAACTCCTACACCCAAATGAGTTTTCATTGTCTTTTTTTTTTTCTTTTTTAAGATTTATTTCTTTATTTGAAAGAGTTACAGAAAGATGGGAAGAGACAGCAAGAGACAGATCTTCCATTTGCTTTTTCTGGCTGCAATTGCCAGCACTGTGCCAGGTCGAAGCCAGGAGCTGCTTCTGGGTTTCCCATGCAGGTGTCAGGGAACCAAGTACTTGGGCTATTTTCCATTGTTTTACCAAGCCATTAGCAGGGAGCTGGATGGGAAGTGGAGCAGCCGCATCTCACACAAGTACCCCTATGGGATGCGCACATCAGAGGCAGAGGCTTTACTTACTATGCCACAAGGCTGGCCCCACTGGGTACCTTTTCAAAAGCTTCCTCTTATCACTCAAGCCCAGCAGTTTCTATTCTAAGAAAACCACTGCCCATGGTGTCTTCGGCTGGGGTGACAGAAATGAGTGTCTTATCTATTGATTCCTGGGGATCTAGTTTGTGTTTGGTCACTCTTCTGCTCAACCTGAGTTTGTCTTGAGGAGCAAAGTTTCCCTTCCCAGTACAGGTTTGGTGTTAGATTTGTAACATCAAGGGCTGGTTGGGGAGAGTGGTGAAAGAGCTGGAAGTTCAAGCTGGAAGTTCAGGGGCTACCACAGTGACACTTCTGTAGTTGGTTAGATTCTGGAACATGTTGCAGTCCATTTCCACAGTCAGCCTGTGGAGCCCCAGGTGTGTTGGTGTGAACTGGAACTGGGTACACAGCATGTTTCCAGGCCACACGGGGCCTAACCTGAAATAAAAGAAAAGGCAGGTACTAGTTCTGTCCCAGGTTGCTCTGCTCATGCCAGTGACTCTGATCCTTCCTTACAGGGAGAGGTTGACCATGCAGAAATGAACAGCTAAGAACCTTGCTGTTAAAACAGAGGTGGTTATGAAGGGATAGAAGACAGGAGCCTGCCTGTGCTGAGCACTTGCATGGTTGAGAAGAGAAATATCCTAAGGGCTGTCAGCTGCATCTGTTTTTCCTTCTGTCCATGCCTTCAGTCTCTTTCAGTTCTCGGTGATGATAGTACTAGTAAATGATGGTTGATTATAGATGTCAACTTGACTGGTTTAAGGAATACCAGAAACCTGGAACAACATTGTTTTGGGTGTGTCAGGGTGTTTCCAAATGAGATTAGCATGTGGATCTGAGCAGACTGGGTGGGAAAACCCTACCTCCATGTGGGCGGGGACCACCAGCTGGCTGGGAGTCTGGAGAGAATAAATACAGAAGGCAAAATGGTCTTTCACTTGGAGAGCTGGGACATAATCAACTTGCTCAACTCCTGCGACCCCTGCCGTGGACATACTCCACACTTGGTAATCTTACATCAGCAGTCCCCTTGATGGGACTCAGGCTTTCAGGCTTGAACCGAGAGTTAAACTCCTTGGCTCCCCCGGTTCTGAGGCCTTCAGACTTGGATTGAGCCATGCTACCAGCACCCCTGCTTCTCCAGCCTGCCTGTCACCTGTTGTGGGACTTCTCAGTTGGTATAATCCTGTAAGCCAATTCTCCTAATAACACCCCTTCATATGTCTCTATAGATAGCCTATTGATTCTGTTTCTATGGGAGCATGACTAGCACCTTGGATATGTTTGGAAAAGCTAGTTTTGGACTCCTCACTTGGTGCTAAGTGCAGAGTGCACAGCAGGCCTGCTGAGAGGGCGTCGAGGTGTCGGCAGGTGGTGTTTGGTGCCCTGTAGTAGCCTCCTGGCCTCCCGGCCTGCCTGTGGACCTTCTTGTGGTGATTGAGGGGATGCAGCAGATTTCTGTTGGGGAGCTTTGCACAACCATTGATCTGGGAAACCACAAACGTCTGCTTCAATGTTGCCAGTTTCCTTCTCATCAAGTTGACAAGAATGGTTAACTCAGTGAGTTTCATGAGGCAGAGGCCGTGGCTCATTAACCCTGACTGCCACCTGCCAGTGAGCTCAGAGATGATAGGAACAGGCATCCTAAACTTTAAACCATACGCTGTGAGTTCAAGAAAGGCTGTGATGGACATAATGTGAAAGAAGGTATTTGCAACATCTAAACCCAGCAAGGGACGAATACCTAGAATGTATGAGGAACTTGAAAAAAATTCATGGAAAATGCATATTATGAAGAAACGGTTTTTTTGTGTTTTTTTTTTTTTTTTTTTTTTTTTTTTTTTTTTTTTTTTTTTTTGCACCGAAGTAAACCCTATCTTTTAATTCCATGTTTTCATGAACTTTTTGAAGTCCCCTTGTATTTCCATGGATGTAGCAAAAAGACATTCATTACCTTTGGACCCTTGGCTTTCTGACCAGTTGAGATGTTTCAGCGGGACAAAGAGCTTGCAGTCTCACCTGTAGTTCCTCTCTCTGTGAATGAGTCCCCTCCCGAGGATGGAGATCACGCAGTCCTTCATGGGGGCGTCTAGGGTGTTATGGAGGCTGACTGATGCCGTCAGAGGCTGGTATTGCTCTGCTGTCTCTGGCATCTGTGGGAAGAAGCAATACGTGGAGCGGATGCCAAAGGCACAGAGCCACAGGCACGCCTTCCCTTCCTGGGCACCCCTGTATCCTCCTCACTTCCACCCCCATCTCTGCCATCCTAACCCTGACTCCACAGCTGACTCCTGTGCGCCTTTACCTGGTCTTCCTGCGTTTTCTCTTACCCTCTCTGATGTGTCATTGACAGGCCCTGATCGTGCCTCTCCTCTGCTGGAGACCCTTGGCAGGTCTCCATTGTCTTCAGAAGTCAGCCCACCTCTCCAGCCTCACCTGTTCTTCCCTCAGTTAAATGACACCCCAGCTATGTTGTGGACTTGCCTGTGCCCAGCACATTCCTCAGGCTCCTTTCCTTTGCGCCTCTTTGCTCAGCCTTCTGCCTTTGGGGGGGGGGGGGGCCTTCCCCTACCTCTGTACTGAAAGTGCACTCACTCTGCAAGTCCTCAAATAAATGCTGCCTCCTCCATGAACTTGTCCCCAAAATCATTAGCTGGAATTAGTCCTCTTTACTACATTTATCCCGTGGTGACTTTGTGCCTCTGATAGAGCACAAAGGGCCGAGTATTGCATCTCCCTTACCAAGCTATAGCCACCTGGAGGCCAGGGACCAGATCTCATTCACTTTGGCCAGGGTAGACAAGTGGACCAACAGCCACAGACTCTGGAGTTTCCTGTTTTATGATCCTTGGCATTTGTGTTAGGACTCAGTTTCCTCACCTGAATAATGGGAATAGTTCCACCCCACAGGGCCTTTGTATTAAAAGAGGAGAAAATACTTTGGTGTAGGTATAAAGTATTAAATAAACACAGGCTGTTATCATCTGTGTAAGTATAGCTCAGTGATTGGAAAGAACCTTTACTTAACCAGTTAAAGGAGTTGGGAGATTTAAATCTTCGTAGTGCGTGTAAGAGGACTATCTGAAGAGAAGGAGCTCTCAAACCCAGCGTTTTCTGGTGGTTCTGCAGTGTCGTCATCTGCTCTGCAGCTCGGGGGGCTCGGATTCCTTCTGAATGGAGAGCTGAGTGGTAGCAGCTGAGAGCAACTCAGGGAAGGACTGGGGCCTACCTCGATGGCAAGCTGTGGTCTACAGATGGCGACGTCTTCCTGAGCAAAGCAGCTCAGGCTGGACTTGGAGTGTGTAGCCATGGCCGTGAGTCTGAGGAAGCTGTTCTCTGGTGGGTGTGGCTCAAAATAGGAGAAGGACAGGCTGGTGGTTATTCTCTTAACTGAAAGACATGACAGAGGGAGTCAGTGAAAAGGGTGAGTGTGTGTCCTGGAAACAAGCCATCATTGCACACAGAGGAGATGCAGAGCACTTAGGGTCTCACAGGCCAAAAAGGTACCTCAGTCCCCACTCGACTTGTACACCTGGAACCTACTCAAGACCTCACCCTCCATCCTCTACCCGTCACCACTCCTGGCAGAGCACCCCAGCGGGGTTGTGGAAAGGTCCCTGTGGACTAGAACCAGATAAGCCCTTCGGCCTCACTGTACTTGTCTAAGGATACTGCCTGCCCAGCGGGATGGTTTGTGTTGAATGCAGTGCTGCAGAGTGGTGATCTCTGAACCCACCACCTAGCAGTCTCTGAATAGATGCTGATTCCCTCCCATTTCTGCTGCTTCTCCTCCCCTTTGGCAGAGAAAATGAAGCCATCAACTGGAGCCCTCACCCCTGCTGTGTCCCTGCTCATGTCTAGCCCCATCATGACCCCACCCACCACTGATGGCTGTGTAACCTTGGGCAAGTTACTTAACCTCTCTGTGTCTCTGTCTGGTCCCCCTATCTATGAAGTGGGGACAGAAATGGATCTTGCCTCATAAGAATGTTCTGAGGATTAATGAGATAACATAAATAAAGCACTTAAAACATTTTTTGGAAATATTAGGTGCTCAATACGTGTAAGCTACAGTGATTCCAATTATCTCATACTCCCAAGGATTGCTTCCTCTATTACAACCCATTTCTCCCGAGGATCAGTCTTGCCCTCTATGCTCATTGTTTTCCTCAGCACAGAAGCAGATGGATTCTCTGTCATCTAAATAAAACAGCGTCCACCCCCGCAGAGACCCAGCATCGCTGGCTACCACGCAGCCTGTCTTCCTCCCGTCATGCTGCTGGGAATGGCCGTGCAGCATGTCTCACCTCCTCCACTTAATCGGTTGAACCTCCAGGAAACTAGCATGCACCACTGCTCCTGGGTGAAGTCCCTCTCTCAAGGGACGCCTCTGAGCTGGACATCTCGTGCCCTGTTTGCTGGCCTTGCTGGGTGCCCCCTTCTTCTCTTTGACTTCTTAGTCTCCTTTACTCTGCCCTTCCTGACTGCCCGCTCTGTGCTGGTACTGCCTGGGTTCCCTCCTCATCCTCTTCTCGTCTCACAACCTCCAAAAGCTCATTCAGGTTCTGACTCTCAGCTGCCCCCTCTGTGCTGGGATTCTCACCACTGGTCTCCAGCTCAGGACTTTAGCTTAAATACTAGGTTCAGGTTTCTAGCTGCCTTACTGGCCATCTACTTAGACATTTCTTGGGTTTTCTTTTATTTTCTTTTTAGGTTTGGTAAGTTTTCTGTCATTATCTCTCTCTCTTTTTTTTTAAAGATTTATTTATTTGAAAGAGTTACAAAGAGAGAGAAGGAGAGGCAGAGAGAGAGAGAGAGGTCTTCCATCCCCTGGTTCACTCCTCAATTGGCTGCAACTGCCGGAGCTGTGCCAATCCAAAGCCAGGAGCCAGGAGCTTCCTCCAGGTCTCCCACGCGGGTATAGGGGCCCAAGGACTTGGGCCATCTTTTACTGCTTTCCCAGGCGATAGCAGAGAGCTGGATTGGAAGTGGAGCAGCCGGGACTCAAACCAGCGCCCATATGGGATGCTGGCACTGCAGGCAGTGGCTTTACCCGCTACACCACAGTGCTGGCCCCAATTTCTTGGGTTTTCACAAGCAACATACCACAGCCAAATTCACCATCATTCCTTGGAATCTGCTGCTCTGTCCCATTTTCCCTGTTCTAATGATTCACCCAAGTCAGAAGGCAGCCCCCCACTCCCATGAGGCTGGTCTGTCCCACCTCCTTAGCATGTCTTCATTCTAGTACTGCTGGCTTCGTTTGGCTTGCATTTCTCGGCTATTACAAAACCTTCCAACCTCTGATCCAGTGGTTCTTCACATTGGGGTATTTTATAGAACAATCCCATTGCCAGGCCGTACCCCAAATCGATGATGTGAGACTCTGGTGGTTCTCGAGGTGATTTAATGTGTAGCCAGCGTAAAGAACCATTACTCAAGGGCTGGGGGTGTAGCACAGTAGGTTAAGCCACCACTTGTGGTGCTGGCATCCCATATCTGCCAGTTCAAGTCCCAGCTGTTCTGTTTCTAATCCAGCTCCCTGCTAACATGCCTGGGAGAGCAGCAGCAGATGACCCAAATACCTGGGCCCCTGCCATGTGGGAGACCCAGAAGTTCTGAGCTCCTGACTTCCTGATCTGGACCATGTCCAGCTCTCATGCCATGCTCCCCACTGGTCACTGATTCTCAAACTTGCCCGCTCCTGGGATGACTTGAGGAGTATTCAAAATTCTGTTGTTTATGTCCCGCCATAGAGTTTCTGATTTCATTGCCTGCGATGCAAGCTGAACATCGAAGTTCCCTGGATGGCTGTAAAGTACAACAAAATTTGAGAACAATTGTTCTAGACCAGGGAATCTTAACTCTAAAATAGCATAGGGAATGGGCCTTTGGTGCAGTGGTTAAGACGTATTGGAGTGCTCAGGTGCATGGGCAACCCGGATTGAATTCTGGGCTCCTGGCTTCAGCTTGGCCCAGCCTTGGCAGTTGCAGACATTTAGGTAGTGAACAGAGGACAAGAGAGCTCTGCCTGCGTTTCTTTGAAGAAGAAGGGAGAGGGGAGGAGGGGGAGAAGGAAGGAGGAGGAAGGAGGAGGGAGAGAAGGGGGAAGAGGAAGGAGGAGGAAGGAGAACAACAACTCAGGGAGGAGTGGAGGAGGAGGACCTGTGAACCTGCTGCTTCTGTCAGGAAGGCCTGAACTTCACTTTTCTGTTCATCTCTTCCTTACTCACCCTTCATGACTCAGGACAGGGCGTTTATTTGGAAGCAAGGGAGATATTCTGCAATTGTACTCTGTCTACACTTCTTATACTGCTATGCTGGATCTCTTATCTAATTGCAGTTGGAGTGTGTGTGTGTGTGTGTGTGTGTTTCCTGTGTCAGACTCAATAAATATGTGTTGAATGAATGAGAGAGATTGAGAGAACACGTGAGCACCAGAAGCTAAAAGCCATCTCTAGAGACCTGTGGGGGTGTGCCCTGTGGCTGCTGCATACAAGGCAGGAGCCGGGTGTGTTCAGGATGTCTGATAGGGCCATGGAGACTTACCCAGGTTGGCACTGAGTGTGAGGGACAGCTTCTCCCTCCAGAGCTCAGTAGCAAGGACGCCGTTGTAGTACATGGCCTGGGCCCCAATTGTCAGCTGCACGGCCTTCTCCTGGTCGCTAGGGTTAACCAGGATCACTGAGAGCTGGGCCTCCCCTCTCAGGGGTAGAGAGCTGGGTGCTTCCAAGAACAGGTACAGGGGATCGGCCATCTCGACACTGGGGGGAGGGATGCCATTGTCTTTCCCTTGTTCCATTCTCTTTTTCTGGACTCTCTCCAGCACCTCTTTTTCTTGAATGGATCCTAGGGAATGCAAGAAGCAAAGCAGCCTCTTACCTAGCAGGCATAGACCCTTCTAATAAAGTTCCAGGATTAAAACGTACTTACCCACTTCCACTCAACACTGCAGTAGCTAGAGCATTACAGACCTCTAAGGTCATGCTGGTATTTAGCCAGACAAATAGTGTTAGGCACATCTACCACAGATACAGTGTGTTTCCTTCAAGCCACATCAGGACCAAGTTCTTCAAATGCTGACTTTGCCCCTTGAGCAGTGAGACATCAAACCTTGGGACAAGCCCACACTGTCTTTGAGGACAATGTTTCCAGGAATTGAATTTTCCTATGTGAAGGGATCTGGATGGATTCCAAGGGCAATGGGGATGATGGAATGTTGTGGAGCAGGGGAGTAACATAATGATACTTGTGCATGACATTTGTGTCTTTTTTTTTTTTTTTTTTGACAGAGTGGACAGTGAGAGAGAGAGACAGAGAGAAAGGTCTTCCTTTGTCATTGGTTCACCCTCCAATGGCTGCTGCGGCCAGCGTGCTGTGGCCGGCGCACCGTGTCTATCCGAAGGCAGGAGCCAGGTGCTTCTCCTGGTCTCCCATGGGGTGCAGGGCCCAAGCACTTGAGCCATCCTCCACTGCACTCCCTGGCCACAGCAGAGAGCTGGCCTGGAAGAGGGGCAACCAGGACAGACTCCGGCACCCCGACCGGGACTAGAACCCGGTGTGCTGGCACTGCAAGGCAGAGGATTAGCCTAGTGAGCCGTGGCACCAGCCAACATTTGTGTCTCATAAAGCACATTCTGGAAACTGAAAGCTGGAAAGGGAACAAGAATGGAGAGCTGAAGGCAGAGTCCAGCTATGAAACTGTAGATAAGAGTTGGTGAGGCCCCAGATTAGCTCCAGGCAAAGAGGAAATTTCGAGTTGAAGAGACCAAGGTGAGAAATACCATGTGATGGTTAAGGGGGAGTCCCCAGAGTGGCATAAGCCTCCCTGTTGGGACAAAGGTAGAAGTGCCTTCAACTGACTTGGAGCAACAGGTTAGGGTGCGTAGGAGGAGTGGCAGCATCACAAGGCTTCATGCAGCTGTTTTATAGCAGAAATCAACTGGGGGCCATTTTGGCCCCTACAGACATCTGGAGCCATTATTTTTGGTTGTCACAACTGGTAGTGGTGGTGAGGGGTGTGCATGCTGTCATCTCTTGGATAGAGGTCAGGAATGGTGCTAAAGGTCCTGTGACAGACATAGCCTCCCCATCCCCCCACCCCCCCACCCAACCCAGATATCTGTCCCCAGATGTCAATATTGTGAAGCCAGGGTGAGAAACTCTGTTCTCCCTGATGGGGAAAAGGACTAGGGCTGTGTCTGGCCTGCATTTATCTGGCTGGCCCTTCCCTGGTCAGTACCTTCAGGGTACTTGTAGTGCTGCGTGATGTCCTCACAGCGGTCACTGCCCACGGCCTTGGTGCTGATGTTGCTGCCGACGTACTTGGTGTTGGAGCTGGTCAGCTCCAGCGTCCCATCCTCACAGCACTTCCAAACCACACACGAGGCGTTCACCGAGGCAAAAAGGTCTGACACTGCAGGGCTCAGCCCTAGGATCCCCTCCTTGATTGCTCTGACAGGGACCAGATCGCAGGCCCCCAGGACTGAGGGAGGGAAAGGTTCACCCATGAGCAGGGCAGCCATGCCCAGTCCCTGTCCTGTATCCTTTATTCCCTCCCCCAGGGTCAAGGTCAGAGGTTGGTACCAGGCAGGACTTGTGAGAGGGCAACCCAGAGGTGAACTCACAACTCTCTAGTGATGGTACTTTCTGGGTGTGGCCCATGGCAGAACCCCCTCAGAAACTGGACAGGTAGACTCTTAGAGTAGGAGGCTTAGTGCCCAGGAGTCCCCCAGCCAGCTGTGCTCCTCGTGTTCAGGACTCGGTCACCTTTCCTGAGCACTTACTGTGTGCCAGGCTCTGTGACAGTTCTGTTCCTGGGTGAAGAGAGCCATCCTGCAGTGGCTCTGGGAGCTTCCTCCCTGGGCTTGAGCCTCTCCCGATACCCTCTGCAACCTCTCCAGAACCTGGGAGGCATACCTGCAAGTCCTCGGCCCAGCACTTCCTCAGCCGCCATTGAGCCCTCTGCCCTTCTCCGAGTCTCAACCCCTCCATGCGCCTAGCTCATGGCTGGGATAACTGACACCTCCACTTCCTTGCACCTGCTGGCCCCAGGGCCCTGCTCCTGTTTCAGAGGAGGCAGAGTCTCTCTGACCTGCCTGCTGCTTCTGCTTCCATTCTGAGGGACCCTGGGCGGTCGTGGCCCACCCCTAGGCATTACCTCCGCTTCCTCCAGAAGCAGTTGGGTACAGAATCTGCCATCCATTGTACTCCTGGGGCAAAGCAGGCCGCTTCATCCAGCACTCCGTGGAAGTCTGGAAGATCCTGACAGTAGCACAGGGAGACAGTCAAGTGGGAAACAAAGGAGTCCTGAAGTGCAGCTGGGCAGGGCATTGTTACCATGGGGATGGGAGGACACTGTGCAAAGGTGGCTGTAACACCCCCAGTACACACCCCCACTGGCCACAGCATCTGCCTGCAAGAGCCTCCAAGGTCAGTCTCAGTGTGGGGCGTCCCCAAGGTCCACTCCTGCCCCCCCCCAGTCGTTTTGGAGCCCTTCCTGGGCCAGAACTGCATCTCCCTTGGGCTTCTCACCAGACTCGGCCCCGCTGGCCTTCCCCATTCTGGAGACCCTCCTCATTGTAATACTCATCCACCAGCAGGCCCCCGCCAGTGCCCTGGGCTGAGGCATACGTCGTGACCACACGGGCAGGGACTCCCAGGCATCGCAGCACTGTAAGGAAGAGGCGCAGCATCAGAGGGTGCAAGAAAGACCAAGGTGTATGCAGGAGTGTGTGTGGAAGGGGGCCAGTAGGGGAGAGGGGTGAGTGGAGCACATAGGGCTCTGTCTTAAATGCCAGGTGACGTCATGCAAGGAGGAGGGACACAGGCACCAGGAGTCAGAGCTGATACCCAACAGCAAGATGCATGGAGGCTAATGAGGCAGGGCCAACAAGTTCTCAGCTGGCAGAGGACAGGGCGGGGGAGAGGGGTACAGAACATGTGTTGCAGTGCCAAGGGGCTTGCTTTGCTGGAGCAGGTGAGGGGAGGCCGCGGGGAGGAAGTGAGTCTGGGAGCAGAGTCTGCAAATGGACCCGTCTTTGCTGGGGACAAAGAAGCAGAAGCTGGTGGGAAGGGTGGCCGGGATGAGCAGCCAGTTTCTTGGCCACATCGTGCACCTGAACCTGCCGGGTGCGCAGAGGCTGCTGCCGAGCAGAGGCAGCACCTGCTTTTGGAGCTGTCCCTCCCACATGGGAGCTCACAGATCACCCGAGAGTGAGGGCAGACTCTGTACAGCGGCCCAGGCGACCGCCCTGTGCAGCCCCTGCTCCGTACCTGTGCACATGACAGCAGCCAGCACCCAGGCCTGACCATCATACACGGGCCGCCCTTGGCCAGTGAGCCACTGCCGCAGGATGGGCACGCTGCCCCGGCGCTTGTTCAGCAGGGCCCCCTCCTCGGCAGCCTGGGTCTGTGGGGTGGGCAGGACACTCTTCTCCTTGAGAGCATGCAGCTGTTTGGGGAGATGGGTGGTGTTGGTGGGGGTCCTGCAGGCAGGACAGCCCCCATGTGCTGAGTAAAGAGGGCTCAGCCCCCTGTCCGAGTGAAGAACAAACCACCTGCGTCAGAACTACGGGTGCCTGTTGTGCCTGCCTTCCGCTGGTTCCCTCCTAAGCCCATGGGTTCCGATCCCCAGGGTGATGCCATGAGAGCTGCCCGCCGGCAAGCACTGACTCCTTTGCGGTTGTGTGCTGCTGGGTCCTGCGGGCCACTTATCCCAGCTTCCTCCTCCTCCTGGGCCGGCCTTGACCCTCAGCACCTCTTCAGGGTGGACTTCAGAGACACAAGAGGAAGTGGGGAATGCAGGGTTCCTACCAAAGGACTTTTAGAGATAAGGGGAAGCACCAGGCCAGCTCCCCGGTTTGCATCTTAGGACTCCTTTAGAAGTAAATGCAAGTCCCTTTGATTACTGTGGCAGCAAACGCGGGGTAAGAGGGACACCCTCCCCAACCCCACCCCCCCGTTCTGAGGATGACTCCTCTCTTGGCTTTTGTTGTCCCTGGAGATGCTCTCACCTGTCCCTCTCCATCCTCACCCAGACTCTTTTCTAGGAACTGCCTCCCACCCCCTGGGAGCAGGGAACTGTTTGCGATGTGTGGGACAGCTCTGTCAGGGCTCTTGTCCCACATTCTCCTCCCTCTGCCTCCCCTGCCTCTCACTCACCAAGGCACCCAGCACTCGGGCCACATGCACGGGTTGGCTCCACTTCTCTACCTGCTTGTCCACACTCAGCAGGGCCAGGCTGAGGTCCACGACATCCCCTTCGAACTGTAAGGACCACATAAGGCCATGATGAAGGGTCCCTGGTCAGGCACTCATCCCACAGCACAGCCGCATCATCCCATCCTCTTCCCAAGTGCAGGCTCCACGCCTCCTCTCCTGTCTCACTGTCCCCCGAGGGAGTTCTGTTTTTTTCTGCCCGCCTATGCTTGAGCACCCAGGCCTTCACTCTTCCGGGGTCTGACTCTCCTGCTAGGATGTGAGCTCTTGAGGACAGGCACTGAGTAGCTTTGTTTCATTGCATTTCCGTCAGGTGAGCTCCTGCAGCAGTGGGGGGATATCAAGGCAGCTCCTGCACTGAAGGGGCCCACAGTTCAGGACTGGAGATGGACACATGGCCCCTTGGATTACAGATCACAGCCACGTGGCCAGAACCCAGGACACAGAGGAGAGACACCCCTAGCCTTCAGCGGCTAGGGAAATGTTTCAGAAGGTCTTAAGAGATGGGTGGGAGTTTTCCAGGCATTGAAGAAGGGCAGCTGTTGCAGGCAGAGAGAATCTGCAGCTGTGCCCACCAGGCTGGTGAGGACTGGAGCCCGGGGTGGCCTGTGGGAAGGCCTTAGATGGAAAGCCAGGGTGTTTGGTCTTCACCTGGAGACAGAGGTTTCACTCACCTCGATGTGTAGCCAGGTAACTCTGGTAGCTGTGGAGGAGGGTCTGCTGTGAGTCAAAGGGAAGGGAGGCACCCCAGGGCTGAAGTGAGCTAAATAAGTGGCGGCCTGTGTTGTGGCGTAACAGGTAAAGCTGCCACCTGCAACAGCAGCATCCCATATGGGTGCTGGTTCATGTCCTGGCTGCTCTAATTCAACCCAGCTCCCTAACGGCCTGGGAAAAACAGCAGATGATGGTCCAACTGTTTTGGCCTTTGCTTCCTACATGGGAGACCCAAAAGTTGCTCCTGGCTCCTGGCTCCTGTCTTTGGCCTGGCCCATTCCTGGCCATTGTAGCCATCTGGGGAGTAAACAGGTAGATGGAAGACCTCTCTAACTCTGACATACAAATAAGTGAGTAAATAAATAAAGAAGTGGCCTCCCAACCAGGGCCTTTTCACCTGCCAGCTCTTTCTGGCATGAACGTTGATGGTTATGGGCCAGCCACCACCCCTCTATTCCCTGGAGCTCATTTGTACCTGACCAAAGTCCCAGGACTCTTCCTGGATGCAGTCAGCCGTGCCCAGATAGACGATGCCATTCTGGTTCAACACATACTCCCTGCGTTGAGCCTCATTCTCCAGGAACACAGTATCCTCTGCGAGAAACAGGTGGGGATGGATGAGGACCTGGGCAGTGCTGGGCCCGTGCTCCATGCCCAGGCCTCTGCCCTCCCTGCGCAGGTCAGGTTCAGCTCTCAGCCTAATGAAGACAGAGGAGGAAGTCCCTTTCCACTACCCTCTGTGGTACCCAGCCTGGAGCCCCTGGGTCAGTCAGGATGTGGCCTGTGTGATCAACCAGGCAAACCACCTCAAAAAGCCTGGTGGTTCCCAGAGAACATTTGCAGCTGGAGCAGTATCAGCCAAAGAGATGTTGGCTGCCACTCAGAGAGATGCCCAGTGGCCTGAAATGTCTTCCCCACAGCTTCCATTTCTGACCCCAAAAAACATGTTTCAGAAATGAAGCAATTAAGCATAGGTTGGGGGAGCTGAGGACAGAGGAGCATTTGGCAAGGTTGGGTCAAAAGGAGCCCTGGGGCTGGGGAAGTGGAAGCAAGAACAATGGCTTCTGCCCTGGGGTGTCTGGTGGGCCCAGGACTCCCATGGTCACTTCGGGTAGCCTTCTTGGCTTTTCTCACCCAAGGGCTGGGCTGGACATCATGTGGAGGTTGGTCAACCTTTGAGGAGGCCATCATCTACTCTAGGAAGCTGGGGGCGATGGGGATAGCTGCTCTGCTTGCCAAATGCCCATGTGTCTGATCTGGCTGCAGGAGTGGAGTGGGGCTGGGGAGGCGGGTAGTCTAGTTCCTGGAAACTAGAAAGAGCAAAGCGTTTCCAAATCATCCGAAGGAACTGCTGGGCTACATCTCTCGGGAGCCTCGGGCATTCGGCTGGGATGGGGGCAGTCAAGGCAGCAGAAGGGTAAGGTATTACAAGTCAGGAAGCCCTGAAAAATCTCGGTTCTAAAATCACAGAACCATAGGCCCAGGGAGCCCTTGTCTCCTGTGCCTCCATCCCTAATGCTCCAGGAAGTCAGCTTGGCACCACTTCCTTGGAAATCCCTTCAAACTGAGATGTTTGGCCCCAGCATCTTGCAGGGCTCTGGGAAGTACAGTAGGGTACAGCCCCCTTTTATAAAGTCCCTGCCCTACAGACTGGGCTCTGACTTTCATTATATGATGTAAAATTTCTTTCCTAATGCAGGTGACTTCCACCTGCAGGTATGCTGAGACGAGTCTGAGATCCCAGAGAATCTCTCAAAATCCCTTATTCAACTCCCAGATGAGCAGAGCCAGTGATCCATCCCTGCCCAGACAGACTCACATGGAGACGCCATCCCTAAGCAACTCCCTACAAGCGGAGCATGGAGCAGGGATCTTGGCACTGGAGTCAAGACTGTGGGTGTCTTTTCTCTGCCCTTCCTCTGGCCACAGGGCCTAGCTCTGCATGTGTCCTGGGGGAAGGGAACCCACAAAAGCCTTGGCTTTGGGGGGAACCGCTTGAAGGCCAGGATGGGGAGAGCCATGGGGCCTTCCTTAGGTCAACGGCTCTGAATCCACATTCCTTCCCAGGGCAAGGGGTGCCTGCATGATCTCTAGTTCCCACCCATTGTTCCTCTTGCCTACCTACTTGGAGCAGGAAAGAAAGGCCTGAGCTGAGGACAGGCAGGGCCATTTGAGGGGGGCTTAGAGAATTCACTCTGGTCAAGAGAAGTGGCCAGAGAGGCCAGAGGGCTTCAGTTACCATAGAGAAGGGCTGTCAGGAAGTGGGGTCCAAGCCTGGGGCCACAGGAACCAGGAAAGACTCTGGTACTTCCCTGTATTTCCTCTAGTCTCCTGCTCCTGACATATCATGGAGTCCCCCTCAAGCTGGCAGTAAAAATCTTGAAAGGAAAGGGCAGGTGTACAGGACAGGGAAACTGGGAGAAACTGTTTTCCATTTTCCCGATCAGCTCTTCAGGGGCCCAGAGAATTAAGGTGGGTGTGGTCGATTCTAAAAGGAAAGATATGGAGCAAATGTTTGGCACAACAGCTAACATTCCACGTGGGATGTCCACATTCCATATCCAGAATTCCTGTGTTCAAGTCCATTTTCTGCTTCCAATTCCAGCTTCATGCTAATGTGCACTCTGGGAGGCAGCAGGTGATGGCTCAAGTACTTGGGTCCCTGCCACCCATGTGGGAAACCTGGATTGAGTTCTGGGCTCCCAGATTTGGCCTTGCTCAGCCCTAGCTGTTGTGGGCATTTGGGGAGTGAACCAGTGGGTGAAAGATTTTTCTCTCCCTGTCTTTTAAATAAAAAAATTTTTAATCAGTTAATTTGAAAATAGAGAAGAGATAGGCTCAATACTCAGAATGAGAAGGAAGAGAACATGCCCTATTTGGTCCTCTTTTGGGCAAATCAGCTGTGCCTGCTGACCATCTTCTGATGAAATAGCTCCAGCCACAGCAAGGGCTGAGCTCTGCCTGAGGGGCACTGATTGGACAACAGATGTCACCTGACCACAGGGAAACCCACCCACAGGCTGTCTGAACTATCATGGCTCCAGGAGAGGAGCCATGCACTTGTAATAAGAGCCAGACAAGCAAGTGGAGAGGAAGAAAGGGCAGATTTACTGCAGCCTAGGGATTCTCACTAACCTGGAGCCTGCTGGGTGCTCCAGCAACTCAAAACTTTGTATTCTTTCTCTTAAAGAAGATCCTCCAAATTACAGAAGCTCCTGGGCCCACAAAAGCTAAACACATCCTAGAGACAGACCAGGGAGTCTGGAGAGAGTGACAGAGAAGCCCCTCCTGCCACCTACTTATTCCCGGAGGTCTTCCCAGTTCTCGACCCTGTACTGTTAAAATAAAGGGTAGCTCTCCTAGAGTCATCTCAGTGAGTCTGAACTCCTGTGACCAAAATAACCTGAGTAACCCTGGGGTTTGGTGATGGAAGCTTTTGCTTTCAGTGGGCCCCAGGTTCCTTCTGATGTGCATGATGCCAAGGACCCTGGATCTGAGAGTCTTTTCACCCAGGGAGAAGGCACCAGCCGGGACTGAGTGCTGGTGCTGCCCTGGAGGGAGATGCCTGCAGGTATCTGGGGGCAGGTGCTCCCTGCCAGAGCCACCCCCCAGCTCTGGTGCCTTCAGTCCCTTTAAAGCTCAGGTCAGCCAGGTCCAGACTCACCTCTATTCCAGGGGTTAAAGAGCAGTGTAAACTGTCCCAAAAGGCGTTGCTTCCTGCCTGAGACCTGCAGCAGGAGTGAGTAGTGGCCAATGACAGCATCTGCAGGTGTGGTCACAGAGATGGTCCAGGATTGGTCATCTCTCTCCTCCACCGCCGCGCTCCACCCTTTTCGGTCCCCAAGGCTGGAAATCGGGAAGATGGCTTGGGTCCTATTGGCCGTGGAAGGTTGCTCTCCTGTAGTCACATAGCAGTGAATCAGCCATTTGAACTTCTTGGTCACGACTCAGAGTAATCAAGTCCCAGTGTCACAAAGATGGAGCAGGGGAAAGTTGGCTTTGGAAGAGAATGAAAGAATTGGGAGCAGCAAAGGGTGATGTGGAAGCCATAGGCTGTTGGCATTCCTGGGCCCATGTCTCTCAAAGGCTCATTATCTATAAGAGGAGCATAATGAGAGTACTCGTTTCATAGGGCCAGTGTGAGGGCTGAATGAGATACTGCACGTGAAGTTCATGGCCCAGTATCTGACATGTAGCATGGATGTAACAAATGGCAGCCGTTCCGTGTTACACACATCCTTGGTGAGATCCCACACAGGCTCTTGTGCACAGCTGAGAGTGTGCTTGGAGCCAGAGGAGCCGGTGAGTGACCCAATGAGCAGTCTGTGCTGTGCACACCGTCCCGTGGCGCCCTCACACAGTCCTGCCCACCCCCGGGACTTCAGAAGGCCCAGCTGCCGGGGCCGCCCGGGTTCCCTGACAGGGTGCTGGAGAGAGAAGCTCCCCCGCTCAGTCCTGCTGCCAGAGGGGTTCAGGTTCACTTACCAGTTTGTATGACGAGGGCCACCTTCTTCAGGGTAGGCAGAAACCTGCGGACTGGGGTACGGAAATGCAAGAGGACGGTGAAGGACTGCCCCCTCCTCACAACGAGGCGCCGGGAGCTGATGGCCTTGGTGTGGTGCTCCTCGTTGTTTCTTGCTGCCTGCAAGTCACAGCTCATGATACCCAGGGCTATTGTGGAAGAAAGACAAGTCAAGGAGGAGACTGGGTCAATGTGACGATGTACGTAAAAGTGGAGATCTGCAGAGACCAGGGTTTAAATGCTAGATTCAGCTTACTTACTAGCTGTGCAACCATAGGCAGGTCACTTAACCACTCAATTTCAGTTTCCTTGTCCTTTGCATAACTACCCTTCCTTGCAGAATTGTGGGGATTAAATGAGATCATGTGAACACTTAGCGTGGTGTCAGACACATAGTAAGTCCCATTAACTGCGACTGGTGGTGGTGGTAACGAGAGCATTGCTTGTTCTCATTGTTGACATCCTTTTCTGGTCCCAGTCCAAGGCAATGAATAACACCCAGAATTTTGCTCTCCCTACTCATTCTTTTCTTTGAATACAATCAGAGAATTTGGGGGGAGGTTTATTTTTGTTTTTAAGATTTATTTATTTATTTATTCGAAAGGCAGAGTTAGAGAGAGAGGGAGAAAGAGAGAGGGGGAGGGAGAGAGAGCGCTTCCATCTGATGGTTCATTCCCCAAATGGCTACAATGACCAGAGCTAGGCCAGACCAGGAGCCAAGAACTCCATTCAGGTCTCCCACAGGGGTGATAGGAACCCAAGAATTCAGGCCATCTTCCACTGCCTTCCTAAACACATTAACGGAGAGCTGGATCAGAAGTGGAGCAGCTGGGACTCAAACTGGCAGTCACAAGGGATGCTGGGAACTCCAGCTCCATTCGGAGAATTTTTGGAGCTGCCTTTAAGATCAGTGAGTCCAACTGTCTTGTCTTACAGTTGAGAAGAGTGGAACTGACTCAGTCAAGATCACTTTGACTTAAAGGCTCATGGCACGGCGCACCACAGACAAACTCTCCAAGGAGGTGGCCCGGGAGTCATGAGTCTGTCAGCCAGGTTCCTTTTACAGAGGGAGGGAAAAAAACAGAGAAATAAAAAGATATGCTTGGTGCACCCAAGATAAGGCCCATGACTGAAAATAGAACGGAGTTTCTCTTGCAACACAGGACTTGTGTGCTTTTGTTCTCTTTGTACGCAGAAGGCCATGGGGAGCCTCCTTGGTCTGGGAGGCAGAGTGTGGTTTTGCAGCGGCTTAGCTGCCAGGAGAGAGACCGCTTGCACGTGTGGACTAGGGTCTGAGCTTCTTCAGGGAAGTGACCTGAGCCTGAGGGCATGGGCTTCAGGCTCCGAGACATACTCAGGATATTCCTACTTCAGATCCCCTCTGCTCCCCACCTTTCCGGCATACAAGAAGGATGAGGGGCAAAAGGGAAAACAACCACCCTGCTCGACTTTCTCTTTCATTCATGATGGAGCTGATAGTAGAGGCCAAGGATAGGAAGTCAAGGGGGAAGGAAGGAACTGTTGAATACAAAGAGATGTGAAAGTGAGTGGAGGGAAGGGGCCTTCCCCGGTCCTGGTGCCCCTGAGGGCCGCCTCTGCTCTGTGTCTCCCTCATCCACCAGTGGGATGGTCCGTAGATAGAATAGCCACCGTGAGGCTGGGGCTAGTCCATGGAAACACAGACACCACAAAGCTGCTGCCGGGCTCAGGACCAGCCCTGCCTCTGGAGCCTGGGCACTGGACGGGTGAGCAGTGTGACTGCAGGCTTTGCTTGTGCCTTGAGGTGTCTGAATGCACACAACGGCAGCCGGGTTCCAGCAGAGCCACTCTTCAGAACTCATCTGGGCCCGGTTCTGTCCGGAAGGCTGTCCCTGCCTCTTTGCCTGGTAGACACCCACTCATCTTCCAGGATTCAGAGGCACCCGTCCTCACTGATCTTCCTGTGGAAGTCAGTCCTCTGAGCTCCCATGGTACTCTGCGCCACTCTTTTCAGCACTCTGTCAATTTTGTGTCTATAATCTCCTTAGCCTCTTGCTCCCATCCTCCGGTGAGCTTCCCCAGGTACAGTATTTTTTCATAACTGTGTCTCCTGCCCCAGCAGAGCTTTGAACTCAGTAGATATCCAATCGCTCGTGCTTGCTTGATCAAGGGGAGAGCGGGAACACTGACACACTGACATCTCAGGTGCACCACGGGGGCCGTGGACCCACGCCCATGCTGACAGACCCCAGCAGAGCCCCTAAGGTTGCTGCATCCTCCAGGTCTGCTTGATGTCTTGTGCTTTCCCTGCCTCTGCCCCCTTGTAGTTGGATTCCCAAACTCCTGCCTCCCCATTTCCATCATTTGGCCTCTGACACCTCCCCATGGCACCTCTAATTTGTATCACAGCCCAGTGAGCTGTGAGCAGTCACATTATGATGATCTGGGATAAGAATATAGATCTGTGTTAACCAGCATTGCCATCCCACCATCATCATCACAACTGACCATCAGTTTACTCCAACAACTCACCACACCCCACCCCATAGCCACACCACCATCCGCCATACCCCGCATAGCTGTACTACCATCACCTCCGCCTCCACTGGCGCTCTCCTACTGCACTCCACTCCACAGCTGCATCACATCTCCACCACAGCCACAGCCCCTCCCTAGCCACAACCCCCTACCATAGCCACACCACCACCACCACCACAACCACTGTCCTACTTTCTTTAATGAAAACACTTGATGAGCAGGGGCTACTGACAGTCCAGTAAACCCTGCTGAGGGCTGTCTTGACTCACCGTGTCCCATCGCTGAAGGCTGCTCTCCTCCACTTGATCACAGAAAATGCCTCTCTTGAGCTGTTGCTTCTAGGCCTCCTCTCTGGACCTGTCTTCTGGACAACGAGGGTGAACTGCTGTTAGCTTAAGGATCTATGAGTAGTGGCATTTCCAGCTCCTCCTCCTGGGAGCACCTCAACAGGCTGCTTCTTTGCTGCTCTCCCTCTGCTGGTATCTCCTGGGCCAGCTGCTACACGGAACCCTTCTCATTTTATCTCTTGGGCCAGGAGGCCCAGGCAGAAGGATGATTGCCGGGCCTGAAGGAGGGGGTGGAATAGGGAAGATGCGGCAGCTGAAATCCAGAAGAAACCATGAGTCCTAGTTTCTTAGAGGTCTCAGGAGACTCTCAGCAGTATTACCTGGAAGACTCTGGAAGAGATGACTCCATGGGAACAAGAGGTCCACATCTCAGCCCCAGACGTCACAGCCCTCAACCTATCATGAGCTGCAAGTCACCAGATGTTCATGGACTGTGTTGGGTAATGTAAAGAGAGAACTTGCGCGTATGCAAATCATCTGTGTGAAACAGATAAGGATTTCTTGGTGGAAAATGTCCTAAAAGCAGAAGCCAGGGCCCCAGCTCTCCCAGGCCCACCTGGTGGGGACACTACCAGAGAAGGTCTGGAACTCTCTATGGGCTCAAGTCCTGTGTCTTTTGGATTTCTCCTGGTTTGGTTCCTGAGGAGACAAGGCACAGGAGAGAACCTCATACCTGGCCCTCTTTGGCCCTCCAAAGCCCAGCATCAGCCTAGGCTCTGAGACTGTGAGGTCAGCAGCACTCTCAGGGGCAGCTGGACTTGGCTGCACGTGCTGGGGGTGTCTGTGGAACAACCCACAGAAAGCTGTGGTTGCCGGTGGGAAGGGATCAAGGGGGTGTGGTAGGAAAATGATTTTCTGCTATTCACTCACCCCTTTGTATGTTTAAAACTTTGACCTATTACTCATCTGAAGAAACATGTAGGAATAAGAAAAGAAAAAGAAACTGCTGCTTTCTCACTTGCCCCCCAAGAAGAGTCCTCATAAGAAATGAAGCTGGAGGGCTGGCCCTGTAGTGCAGTGGGTAAAGCCGCTGCCTGCAGTGCCGGCATCCCATATGGGCGCCTGTTCGAGTCCTGGCTGCTCCAGTTCCGATCCAGCTCTCTGTTATGGCCTGGGAAAGCAGTGGAGGATGGCCCAAGTCCTTGGGTCCCTGCACCTGTGTGGGAGATCAAGAAGAAGCTCCTGGCTCCTGGCTTCAGATCAGCGCAGCTCTGGCCATTGTGGCTTTCTAGGGAGTGAACCAGCAGATGAAGATTTCTTTCTGCCTCTGCCTCTGCCTCTGTAGCTCTGTCTTTCAAATAAATAAGTAAATAATTAAAAAAAGGAAGAAATGAAGTTAAGACCAACATTATGGCATATCAGGTAAAGCCGCCATCTGCAGTGTTGGCATCCTGTATGGTTGCCGGTTCAAGTCCCAGCTACTCCACTTCTGATCCAGCTCCCTGCTGATGGGCTGGGAAAGCAGTAGATGACCCAAGTGCTTGGTTTCTTGAACTCACATGGGATACCAGGAAGAAGCTCCTGGCTCCTGGCTTCAAATCGGCTCAGCTCTGGCCGTTTTGGCCATTTTGGGAGTGAACAAGTAGATAGAAGATCTGGCTCTCTGTCTCTCTCTGTCTGTAACTGCCTCTCAAATGAATAAATAAATCTTAAAAAAAAAAAAAGGAAAATTGATGATGAATATGAGAGGCAATTCACAGAAAAGGAAATGCAAATCTTTCAAACATGAAAAATTTAATATAAACACAAAATAAACCTTCCCTGAGATATCATTTTAACCTATCAGATTGGTAAAGAAAAAATAGTTGGACAGCACTCTGAGCTGACGATGGTTTAGGGGAAAAGTTACCATTGGGAGTGTGAATGCCGGCCTGGGCTGCCAGGACAAGAGACCGCGTACTCGGTGACCTCAGTAACAGACATTTGTTTTCACAGATCCTGAGACCAGAAGTCCAAGATCAAGGAGCCGTCAGGGCTGCTGTCCGGTGATGGTCTCCTTTCTGGTCTTCTCACCATGTCTGCTTCTCTGGGAACATGAGGAAACAGAGATTTCTTTTCCTATTTTTAAGAATATTATTTTTTTTTATTTGAAAGAGAAAGGCAGACAATGAGGTTCCCTCCGCTTTCACTCCCCAGATGTCCGCCCCAGCTGAGGCTGGGCCAGATAGAACCAGGAGCTGGGAAGTCAGTCCAGGTCTCCCTCGTGGGTGGCAGGGACCCAACAGTGCTGCCTCCCAAGGTGTGCATCAGCAGGAAGCTGGAAGCAGGAGTAGAATTGGGAACTTGAACCCAGACGCTCTGGTACAGGATGTGGACATCCCAAATGATGGCTTAGCTGTTAAGCCAAACTCTCATTCTGCTCACCCTTTCCTTACAGGGACATGAGTCCACCTAGACTTTGTTATCTCCTCACAGGCCCTGTCTGCAATTGCAGTCCCATTATGGGTGGGACTTTAGCATACGAATCTCCAGGGCATGCAGTTCTGTCCATTCAGCCATTCCACTTCTAGATATTTACCATGACAATAGCCAAACATAAAATGAAATTTGTACGAATGTGCTCAAAGCATTGATATTATCAAAAGACTGGCAACTATATAGACATCTATAGAAAAGATGTTGACAGAGATGTGCACTGAGCAGAGCACTGTACCCGTGTGAGAAGGGGCACAGTCTCCAAGCTGTGTTGTTGGATGGAATCAGCAGGGTAGAGAATGGGGTAAACACTGAGCTGCCTTCAGGCGGGGGCTGTATGTGGAAGGGACGTAAATGAATGTGCAGGTGCTTACACAGAGGCTGTCTGGAGAGTTCCTGCTTCTGATGAGGAGACTCAGTGCCAAGACCCAAGGCATTTTTCTGTGTATACTTTTGTGTCTTTGTACCATGCGTATATATTTATGTGTGAGATTTTTTTTTTTTTAAGAAAAAAAAACTTACAAGGGGGAAGAAAAGGCTGACTGAAAATCACTGTGTGACCACAGACAGCTCTCTCCCTCCTAGCTCCCCTTTTCGGGGTTGCTAGCAGAGAGAAGGCTCTCCTTCCTAGGACAGTTCCCACGAATGCTTCTTGGGGCACCTTCAGGGGTGCCTATGATGAGCCAGATACTGCTGTGGTTGAGTTGGGATAAGCGGGTGAGTGGGAGACATGAGGAGGATGGAGGGAGGGGTGACCAGAAAGATCTGTCCTTCTGCTTCCTACCCACGCCGTTCCGTTCCCCAGCCTCCAGCAGAAAAACACTCCCGTGTACCCAAGAGGGATTCACGTATTCATCTGTGAAACAAGTGCGTACTGAGCGTGATTGTGCACCGGGAATGGTTTGAGCTGTTAGGGTCTAATGATGGAGTAGTAATTAGATCCAAGTGTCCCTGCCACCAGGAAGCTTCTATCCCAGCAGGGGGAGACAAACACTAAGTACTCGCAGCTCAACCCTCCTGCCATTGTGGTAGGCAAGTGCTGTACCACAGAAGCTATGAGCTCTCAGACCTAGGAGAGGAAACCAAGGCGAGCTTCCTTGAGAACGTGGTATTCGCGCTGAGAACCTGGGAGGTGAAAGGGAGTCGCTGGGCCACAGGGCGAGGAATGAAGTGGGTGAAGTGGGAGGAGAGAAAACAGCAGGTGCTCAGGCTCTAAGGCGGGGAGCAACAGAAAGAAGGCAGTGGAGCTGCATCCCAGAGCGAGATGGCGAGAGGTAAGGTAGGGGTGAAATCTTGCAGAGTTGAGCTGCAGATTTGGGGTGTTATCCTGGGAGCAGTAGGAAGCCGCTGAGTGATATTTTAAACCAGGGAGCAACACAATCAGATACGCATTTTTAAAATATCCCACTGACTAAAATAGGAGACATTATTTAAAGAGAACAGAAGGGGAAGGGGGTAACCAAGGAGAGACCAGAGAAATGGTTCAGGCGAAAAGACGACAGTGGCCTGCTCAGGGGGTGTTGGTGAGGGTAGATGGGGGCAGATTTGAAAAGACAAGTGATTCACAGACGTTGTAATGGAGGGGCTGGGGAAGGCAAAAGTATTCAGTGTCACTCCCAGGATCAGATAAATTAATTACGCTGGAACATTGTTTCACAAAGCACTTTCACATCCATTCTCTCACACGATCTGAAGAATCCTATAGATCAGGTAACAGATCATTATTCCAACAGGTTCAGGAGTAAACATTTATTTTAATGAATGGATTTTTTTGAACAAATCCATTCATATTCCTCATAATTCCAGAAAAACTTTAGGAAAACTAATAATATGGTTGAAGAGCTCATTAAAATGAAAACAATGAAAGAATAGACAAGGAGCCCATACCAAGCCGAGGGTGAGGCTAAAAATGCACCTCACAGTCGACCTGTCCACAGGCTGTGCACGCATTAGAAATAAACCACAAAGCTGTCCAGGAGTTGAGGCTTTCCCGGTGCATGTGCATCACAGCTTGCGGCGAGGCCTGGACAGAAGGCGAGGTCTCCCTTTTTTTTTTTTTTTTTTGGACAGGCAGAGTGGACAGTGAGAGAGAGAGAGAGAAAGGTCTTCCTTTGCCGTTGGTTCACCCTCCAATGGCCGCCGCGGCCGGCGCACCGCGCTGATCTGATGGCAGGAGCCAGGAGCCAGGTGCTTTTCCTGGTCTCCCATGGGGTGCAGGGCCCAAGCACAGGTCTCCCAACCCCGGTCCCACACATGGGATTTCACTGCAGTCTTCAGTGAAGCTGTTTTACCAGGAAGGTATCTCTTGTTCAACCTTCTTTTTAAATCTCTCAAGGATTTCTGCTTCCAGATACAGCAATTAGAATGAGCACCTCTGTTGAGGGTAAACTAGAAAAGCAGAATAAATATCTTAAGTATTTGTTTGAAGACAGCAAGAGCTTGAAGCGTCAAGCCCTCAGGGGTAGAAGGGAGGTGTTGTGGTGCAGTGGGTTAAGCTGTGGCCTGTGGTGGCGTCCGATCCAGCTCCCTGCTAATGGCCTGGAAAAGCAGCAGCTGATGATTCACGTGCTTGGGCCCCCGCCACTCACGTGGGAAACCAGGATGGAGTTCAGGGTGGAGAGTGAACCAGTGAATGGAAGATCTCTCACTCTCTCCAACTCTACCTTTTGAACAAACAAATAAATAAATCGATCTGGAGTGGAGGCGTTGCTGCCTGCCCCACCCTCTCTTCTCCAGGTTCCTCAGCCCAGCCTGGTCCAGCCAGGTTCCTGGGTGGATGAAGTTCCTATACAAAGAGGAGAGAGGAACCTCCCTAAGGATGAGAAGACAGGGAAACCTGGATGAAAAGAAATACCCAGTGCCTTCTCATCTCAGTTGTTCAGTTATGCTTCTTGCTTCAGAAGCAAATTTGTCTCTGAGCTGTGGCTGCCTTGTTTTTCCCTGTCAGCATTGTCATTCCGGGTGCAGGTGCTCAGCCTTGAGGTTATGACACCGGTATCTCACACTGGAGTGTTTGGGGTTAATTCCCAACTCTGTCTCCCAGTTCCAGCTTCCTGCAAATGCAGATCCTGGAAGGTAACAGTTATGGCTCAAGTGATTGGAGACCTGGATTAAGGTCCCCGCTCCCAGCTCTGGCCTGGCCCAGCTTTGGCCTATATGGGCATCTGGGGAGTGAACCAGAGGATGGGAGCTTTTGCTCTGTTCTCTGCCTTTGTTTCTTTTTTGAAACAAAGCAAAACAAAACACTGCATCAATTATTACACAAAGAAAAAGTCATTCCACCCACCGGTGCCACACTGGGTCAGCCATACCAGGAACACTCCGAAGACAAACTTTCTCTGTACATTGTCTACAGTGATGAGAGGGTCTCTGGTTTGTGAAGCTGCTGCCCGAGTTTGGGGGGGTGGAGTCCTGTTCTACAGGAAGAGGTGGCCCCCTTCCCCAGCTTGGCTCCCCCCCAAGACCTGCATTTCTTAATGTTTGATGTTTTTCCTCTGGCCCCTCTCAGTGGATGGGGTAATGTGGGGAGGACCCCGGTACTTTTCCTTTCTCCTTTCTGCTCCCATGCCCGCCTCGCTTATGCTGCTGTAGACTTTTTTTTTTTTTTTAAGATTCCTCCCTATAAGCTTGGTTTTATAGTATGAGATAAATTTTTAAAAGACTTTATTATTTTTATTTATTTGAAAAGCAGAATTACAGAGAGAGGGAGAGAGAGAGAGAGAATCTTCCATCCACTGGTTCACTCTCTAATGGCTGCAATGGGGCTGGGCCAAGCCCAAGCCAGGAGCTTCTTCTGGGTCTCCCATGCAGGTACAGGGGTCCAAGGACTTGAACCTTCTTCTACTGCTTTCCCATGCCATCAGCAGGGAGCTGGATAGGAAGTGGAGCAGCCGGGACTTGAACCGGCACCCGTATGGAATGCTGGCATCACAGTTGGTGGCTTAACCCTGTTAGGCCACAGTGGTCGCCCCATTCTGTAGACTTCTTGACTGTCAATCTCTGTCACATTCAGTGGTTGCTTTGGTTTCTGTTCCATTTCTAACTGCCCCATGGACAGCCCCTTCCTTTTGTCACTTTCTCTTTTTTTGGAGTGGGGGGGGTAGATAGAAGGGACTGAAATTGTTGGGGAAGATAGGAAGCACATCAATAAAGAAGAAAGCACCACTCACACCAAAAACCGAAATGAAATGAAACAAAGGCCTTGGAGAGAAGAAGAGCCAAAGAGATAGGTTGGACCCTGAGGGCATTTTCCATCTGGGGCATTTGCTGACTTGTAATTGGCAGGTGACAGCCTAAAATCTGAAGAGACTTTTGGGCAACCTCACAGGGCTGGAGTTCCAGGGCAGCCAAGGATGAGGGGTCCCAATACACATTTCTAGCTTTTGGCTGGGTTCCCAAAAGGGCTGTGCTCCATGAGCACAAGTGAACAGGAAACAGGCAAAGCCTTCTAAAACACTGAATCCCACTTCACATTTAAAAAAAAAAATTTACTTGTTTCCCTTTTATTTGAAAGGCAGAATGAGAGAGAGCTTCCATCTGTTCTTTCACTCTCCAAATGCCAGCAACAGCCAGATCTGGGCCAAGCTGAAGCCAGGAGCCCAGAACTCAATCTGGGCCTCCAACGTGGGTGTCAGAGACCCAAGATCTTGAGCCTACTGCCTCCTGCACTTTAGCAAGAAGCTGAACTGGAAGCGGAAGTAGCTGGGACATGAATCCGGTGTGCCAAGCAGTGACCTAAGTGCTGTGCCAGACATCCAACCCTGAAACCAGTTCTAAATCAGCCTTGATTATGGCGCTCTGCCTCTCTCCTAACTGCCTGTCACAAAGAAAATTCTCTGGAGGATGTTGGGATTATCCGAAGCCTGGCATTATCTGAGACCACAGGGCTCTCTCTCACATTCCCACAGATTGGTTCATCAATCCAAGTCTAGCAGTCCCTGAACCCCTCGCTGTGCAGGGCACAGGGCCAGCCTCCCTGCAGAGTGCTCTGTACTCTCGCACTATCTGAGGCCCAGTGCCGTCCCGTGGGCTCGAAGGAAGGGAAGTGTCTGCAGTCAGCACTCTGTAATCAGATTACTCCTGAGAAGGCAACAGGCCCAAAGCTGGCACCAGCCGCCACCCACATACTTGAAACTCAGATCTCAGGGACAGGTAGTGAGGTGGCACCTGCTGTACCTGGGCAGTTGCCCGTTGGTCAGTGGACACACGATGTGGAAAAAGCTGCACAATGGGCCTGGAAGGAGGAGCAAAGTCGAGCTCTTGCTGCCACCTGTGCTTTCTACACAGCCAGCCCCAGCCCCACCAGGCTCCAGCGAACCGGAGCTTCTGCCACTCCCTTGAACTTCGGGCTAGCTTGTGACACTGAAGGGCAGATCTCCAGGAACATGGGGCACCATGGCACAGGGGGAATTTGGAGTCAGAACCATTCTGTGTGATCTTAAACCTAATCCTGAACAGAAAAAGTCCTTTGAATGCAAGGGACTGAAACTGGTTTTAATCAGCTCAGACAAAGAAGCTGAAGTATGAGGGAGCTCCTGGGCTGTTAGGAAGAAGGAAAACCAAGCTGAGATCTAGGAGAAGGGTGGAGACCTGGACAGTGGGGAGGTGGAAGCAGCTGGTCTGTTTCTGGCTCCCTACTGCGGGTGTGGACAGGCTCCAAGTTTCTCCTTGCTCCGGCACACTGCGCTCTGGAGCTCACGTCAGGGAGAGGAGTCCAGCGGGTCCGGTGTAAGTCACATGCCCAGCTCTTGGCCATGGGAAGGCAGGGCCTTCCTGCTGGCAGATCCAACAAAGCTATACCCAGCCAGGGAAAAGGAACTCCTTCAAAAGCCCCTGTCGGCCAGCGCCGCATCTCACTAGGCTAATCCTCCGCCTAGCGGCGCCGGCACACCGGGTTCTAGTCCCGGTCGGGGTGCCGGATTCTGTCCCGGTTGCCCCTCTTCCAGGCCAGCTCTCTGCTGTGGTCAGGGAGTGCAGTGGAGGATGGCCCAAGTGCTTGGGCCCTGCACCCGTATGGGAGACCAGGAAAAGCACCTGGCTCCTGGCTTCGGATCAGCGCAGTGCGCCGGCCACAGCGGCCATTGGAGGGTGAACCAACGGTAAAGGAAAACCTTTCTCTCTCTCTCACTGTCCACTCTGCCTGTCAAAAATAAAAAAGAAATAAAATAAAAAAATAAAGACTATCAGCTGACACAACAGCTTCAGAAAACTAGCATTTAGAAAAAAAAAAAAAAAGCCCCTGTCAAAGTTCCTTTGGATGAGGAGCTGAATTGAGTGTTGTGTGAATGATATTATACTGAGTTCTTTGGAGCTCCGGGGTTAGGTGGGGATGGACTGGGGAGGACCCTATCTGCCCCGCTTCCCATGCCCTCCCCCAGGCCTAGAATGTTTAGTGCATTGGCGCTGAAAATGTTACAGGAATGAGTGAGAGACAAGCTTTGTGATCGAGGAAGGCCCTGCACTCACAGGAGTGACACTGCTGGGAACTGAGTTCCCTTGGCAGCTGGGTGGAGAAGTCTGTGTGCTGCTTAAGTCACAAGAAGGGTGCTCAGCTCCACAAAACTGAGCTCTGTGACCCCACGCTCACAGGAAGCAGATGCCTGTGGACCACAGTGTTTGCACCTCCAACCGCCACCCGAAGCTCTCCACCACCTGGCTTTTGCCTCATTTTTTTCCTGCTTTCTCCCTCTGAATGACTTGCATGCAGCTCCATACTGTCCCCTTCCAACTCTCAGTCTGCATTTGACCGGCTCCTAGCCTTTTGACTATCAGTCTAAATGCTTCTCCCTTTAGGAAGCCTTCAATCCACAATCCCGAGATTGGACTGGTTTTCATTACTCTGTGTCATAACCTCCTGTTTATTTTTCACTCTTCATCGCCTTCGACTTGAGCTTCCTAACTCCTCAGTACCTACCTAGCTCAGGACCTGGCCCCTCGTAGAAACTCGTAAATATTTGTTGAGTGGAAGAGTTAATGGTTGCAGTGTTAGAATCAGGACTCAGAAAGGTCCCAGGGTGTGGGAGCTGAAATCATCCCAGTTCTTCAGAGGCATTATCTCTGTAAGTCGTTCCTCTTCACAGCGTTTTCCTTAAATGATTTCTTCTGATTGTCAGGTAGTAATTACAGGTTGAAATAATTGTACGTTACTTCCAGTTCCCTGCCTCCAGCTCCTGGTTCTCAGCCCACTCTCTAACAAGGCTATCAACCTACCACCAGAGCTCTCACCACACCCCCGGCTCTCCCTCTGATTAACTACACTAACCCTTTTGTTTATATATAATGGAAGTCTTCAACTTTTTATTTAATGTGTGGACATTTATCAAGACAACTGGCTCAGTAGGAAGCCAAGCCTGGAAGGCAGGTGCATCATGCCTTTCTCTATTTAGGACTTCGCACAGGCCTGAAAAAGCCAAGTGTGTCCAAGGGATAATAATGACTAGAGTTGCCTTGGGTTCAGTAGGACCCGGGAAAGCATGGGGCACAAAAATTCATACCTTTGTGTTATTCAGCTGGCTCTATCTTATGTCCCAACCAACCCAAGGTGGGCTTGGACAACAATGCACCGGGGGACTTTGCGTGAAGGGGTTTAGTCCTCCTGGATGTGGCAAGGGACTCAAGTACAGGTCAAGGTGAAAAATCTCCCAGGCTTTTTCCCAAGACACCGGATGGTAGGTGGTATGTAGAAACACCTACAGAGGTGTTGATTTTCCTGATGGGATCCATATACCGTCTGTAAGCATCTTGTCTGTTGACATGTTTATTGTCTGTCTTCCCCACCTCCATGAGGGCTTTGCTGATTGCCTTGTCCCCTGCCCTCAGAACAGTGCCCAACACATGTGAAGTCATGAAATAAATTCTTCTTGAATGAGTGAGTGGGTTCAGGCATTGAAACTGCAGGATGTTCCCTGCATCCAGGGAACAGGTGATGGGAAGTGATGATCACACGGGGCAGGGAGATGAGAACAAGGACTGACCTTTATTGGTAAGAGGGAGGTGGCCATTAGAACAAATGACAGTAAGCTGTGAAGCCAGTCTTCCTCTTGCCTTGATGTCTGAGGGGAAGCAAGTCACGGCCAAGTCCAACAAGTGTGCTCTGCCCACTGTGCTGAATTGCGCTTCTGAATGGGATACCATGGAATCCCCAGGCCCTGAACAGAGCCCTGGGGGCTGTCCAAGTGACCCAGGGAACGAGACATCACCAGTATCTCTCTTGCCACTCATGTTGCAGCTCTGTGGATCCTCTTGAACCTGCTCCTTTTCCTGAAACTTAAAATCCACATGTGTAGCTCATTGTCCCGGAATTTACAACCCAAAGTCTACATATACGCTCCTGTAACCCTTGATGTCCTTAAACTTGTCGCTCTTCAGATTAGCTTGGATCTGCCTTTGGCCACTCTTGAAAGGGACAGTCGTCAGCGTGATGCTGGCCCTGTGTTGGGGTTTGAGGACTCCGATGCTGCATCAGAAAATGGAGAATATCAAACAGCCACAGGCATTAGAATAATCGCAAAACCCTTGCCCTCACTTCCTGGCCTCCCCTCCCCTGGTGTTCTCAGAACCTGGCCTGGGATAAGCTAACCCCGGGATGAAAGGGGAGGGGCGGGGCCTGGTACTAGGTGCTGGGGCACTGGAGCACAGCAAGTTAAGCTGCTGCCTGCGATGCAAGCATTTCCTATGAGAGCCGATTTGAATCCTGGCTGTTCTGCTTCCAATCTTCTCCCTGCTGATGCGCCTGGGAAAAGCAGGTAGAAGATGGCCCAAGTTCTTGGGCACCTGCACCCATGTGAGAGACCTGGAAGAAGCCCTTGCCTTTTGGCCCAGGGCTCCAGCCCTGGCCATTGGAGGCATTTGGGGAATGAACCAGCGGATAGAAGATTCTCTCTCTCTAACTCTGCCTTTCAAAAAAATAAATAAACCTTACAAACAAACAAAACCAGAGTGCTCCTGGTGCTTACAGAACTCGCTGCTGTTTCTTGAAGAGGCCACTGCCTTCCACAGTCAGGACGCAATTCGCAACCTGCTCCAGGAGAGGGTTTGAAAATATCACCTGAATGGAGAGCGGCTGGTTCACGATGGCTGCTCCTAGAACCTGAACAGAGAATGAGAGCACGGGAAGGAGCGGGACATCAGTCCTCATTCAGCGTTTATGGAGGGCACTGCTCTGTGGGGAGTAAAATGAGAGGAGGCAGATGGTAGACATAAGGGGAAAGTTCTCTGGCCTCCCTCTATTTCCTAAAAGCAGGACGCATATGTACAAAGGTGTCCCTCCTCCCCTCTCTACCAGAAAGACAAAGGCTAACCCATGGGACAACCTCAGACCCTGATCAGACTGGAGACAGAACCAGAGGAACTTGACTCACCAGCCCCTGTCTACCATGAGGGTCCCATAGCTTTGCCTTCCTACAGTTTCTCCCCTGGAGACTCAAGGTCCTTTCTCTGGGTCTTGTCCCTTCATTCTTATTGCCCCCCTGCTCAGATGCTACAGAAGCCCAAGTTCTAACGAAACCTCTGAGTTGCCCCCACCCCCCACCGAGAGCCCCATGGGTCCAGGGGGCTGTTTGGCTTTGGGGAGACAGCAATTGAAGGAACAGAGCCCTGAATCTCTTCTTCCCACTCAGAGGACCACCAAACATCAGAGCAGGAGGGGTCCGCAGAGGCTACCCAGTCTAATTCTCTCTGACAGTTCAAAAAGTAGAGGCCCAGGGACTTGTACAGTCAGAAAATGGCAAGTCAGATGGGAGCTGCCCTCCAGGCAGGGCCGTGCCCCTTCCAAGACCCTCCTGCCTTGGCTGGTGTTTCCCCATGTAGGCCCTGGGGATGGCCAACCGCAGCAGGTGGCACAAGAGCGGACCTCACACTCTCTGACTGTCCATGGCCCCTGCTCAAAGCTCTTCTCTAAGGCCTCTGGTGGTACAAGAGGAAGAAGATTTCTCAAACTCTCCTTCCCGGGGGCACCAGCAGAGATGAAGGGAAGGAGGGGCTGCTCTCCTGGGCAGGCCTGGGTGCCCTCTTCCAGGGCGCCACCCTCTCCCTCTGGATCCCAGGGGGCCCACAGTCGTCTGCAGCACTCTGGCCTACATTAATCATGATGCCCGGGTAAGCCAAGGTGATGATCTTGTTCACCAGGATTTTCTCTAGACTGTTCTTCTCCTCACTCAGGGCACTGATGCGGATCAGCTTGTCTGTGGACAGGTACTGGCTGTATTGGCAATAGGGGATTATGCAGGAGTAGGTCTTCACTAGGGAGAGAACACAAGGATAATGTGAGAGGAGCCAGACAATCAGCTGGGCCTGGGTTGGATCTGGTGGCTCTTGCTTAGAGGAGAGGGACCAGCATGCACTGAGCCCTGGTGAGGCAAGGATTAGCCCTGCAGGTGGAGAAATGGAGGCTGAGAGGGGCAGAAGGGCTTGCTCCAGGTCATTCTGCAGTAAATGGGCAAGCTGAGGCCGCAGAACTTGGGCTGTTCCCACTAAGCAGGCCGCATTCCTTGGGGGAGTAAAGCAGGGGCTGGGGGGTGCAGAGGAGGAGGAGAAAGGAAAGGAAGGGAGGAGGAAGGGAGCAGAGGAGGGGGAGGGAGGAATGTGTGCCAGAAGGGACAGGAGGAAGAAAAGCATTGGCTGGCTTGTCCCCTCTGGCCCTGACATGACTGAGCGCATACGGGCTGCCCTGCCCTGCCCCCGAGCCCATACCTTCTTGAGGAAAGAGCGTGAGGAACGCCGTGTCCTGCCAGAACGGGGGCATGGGGCTGCCGTCATGCAGCAGGGACTGGGCGCTCAGGTTCACTTTCAGGTCCTTGGACTGGGGGGACACGTTGATAGCCAGCAGCATAAAGTTGATGTCCTGGCCCATGTGGGGCGGTTCAAGAAGCTTGAACTTCAGGGAGACCTGGGCAACCTCACCGGGTCGAAGGGAGGGTATGTCCAGGCTCTGAGGGCTGTCTCCGCTCAGGGGCGTGGAGCTGGAAGGTGGGGCGTCTGCTCCTGGGGGGCCTTGGGACTTCCCAGTCTTGAGCTTCTGTACAGCCTTCAGGAACACCTGCCTCTCCTCGGGGGAACCTGGAGGGCAGAGCACAGCACCAGGGTGGGCCAGGCTCACCCAGAGGGAAAGCTTTACGGGGCAGCCCGCCCTCCCCCTCCCCTCCTCCAGCACCACTGCGGCAATGGAGAGGCTTAAAACCCTTGTTTTCAAAAACAAACACTGCCTCCCATTGGTCAAGCGTTTCCCAAGAGTCAGGCTCTACCGAGTGCCTCACACCGTCCTTGTACGCGAAACGTCATTATTCATTGTTATGATTTTCAGAGAAGTCATGTCACTTGCCCATGTCACACAGATAGCAAGGAGCAGAGTCCAGGTGGAAACCCAGTGCGTCTGGCTCCAAAACCCATGTCTGTGACCACCTGAGTCCATCCTGAAATCCTCAAGGGAATGACGAGAGCCCACAAGTGCAGGAGAATAAATCTCTTAAAGACAGAAGAGATGGTGTGATTTCCTGTTCTGGAACTAAACTACTGGTCAGGTGTAGGCAATTTCCTAGAAATTGAGAAACAGAAACACAGAGAACGCAAGGAGGAAACACGTTCAGACAAGTAGAGTATGCAGAGAGGACGAGGCCGCCCAGCTTGCTCTCGGGAACCCTGAGGGCAGGATGCGCAGAAAAATTCCCCAGGTGTCCCTCTTTGTGCGAGAAGCTGCCTCGACTGAGGGCCCCGCTCCACCCACTCAGTGCATTTGCCACAACCTCCCAGGGCAGAAGCCACTTGCTCCGGAGCTAAGTCTAAGCTCACTCCACTTGGAAGAGGATCTTGAGATGTTGGCTTTGGTGAGAGTGGGCCCAGAAAGGTGCGAGTCAGATTTAGTTCATCTCTGGTCTACTGACCCCCAGGTACTGTCCACACTGGCTGGTCGGAGGCCCCCCGGAGGGTAACTCAGTCCCCTCAAGTCCCCAGGAGACCCTGGGCAGCTCTGCAGCAAATGCCGCCAGTGCATCCTCGTGGCCCCCACCACTTCAGTGCCCATCAGTCCTGTTTTCACATCATAGACTCTGTCTCTGAGGTGCTCTCTGCCAACAGAGCAGTCTCAGCCCACGTGTGGGGCAAGCCAGAAGTGCCAGGGAGGCGACATCCCTGAGGCACCACCCTTAACTCTTAGTTGGTGGATAATTACCCTGCATGCTTGCCTTTCTGGTGCAATAAACTGGTGGCGGTGTCATCTTGCACTTGACACTTACTGAATCCGTAGTGGGGATGTCAGATTCGGCAAATAAAAATGCAAGGCCCTTTAATTTGAATTTTAGAGAAACAACAAAGAATATAGAACATATGGCTTCCTCCCCTTCCAGGCTCACTTCCTCATTCTACTCTGTATTTCTTGGGGTTCCTCCCACAGAAACCAGCTGCACTGGAATCCTGCTGCAGGGTCTGTTTCCAGGGCCTCTGTAGCTGCAGAGTTGGTGGGATGGGGAATGATACCGCTGGACTGTGATCAACAACTGTCCCTCTTCTGGGCTTGCCTTTTTTTTTTTTTTTTTTTTTGACAGGCAGAGTGGACAGTGAGAGAGAGAGACAGAGAGAAAGGTCTTCCTTTGCCATTGGTTCACCCTCCAACGGCGGCCCGCGTGCTGTGGCCAGCGCACCGCACTGATCCGAAGCCAGGAGCCAGGTGCTTATCCTGGTCTCCCACACGGGTGCAGGGCCCAAGAACTTGGGCCATCCTCCACTGCACTCCCTGGCCACAGCAGAGAGCTGGCCTGGAAGAGGGGCAACTGGGACAGAATCCGGCGCCCCGACTGGGACTAGAACCTGGTGTGCCGGTGCCACAGGTGGAGGATTAGCCTAGTGAGCTGCGGTGCTGGCCTGGGCATGCCTTTCTCAGCTTTGGGTTCTGGAACCTCTCAGGGTCTGCCCCAAAGACCCACACGAAGCACAGACGCCCACTCATCAACACTCCCAGCAACCAGGCAGCTCTCCGGGCCTCTGCCCCCTGACTTCCTCACTTCCTCCCCCTCAGGTCTTGCCCCTGCCAACTCCTGCTCTGGCCCCGCCCCACCCCTGCTTATGGCCCACTTTGTTTGATTTCCAGGTGGTGGATCCCAGTGATTGGCCCTCCTCAATTTCCAGGAATGCATCTACACCTGGCCAACTTAACCTTCCCCCTGGCCTTCCGGGCTGGGCTTAGAGGCCCCTTGGAGTCATCCTCTGGCCCTGCTTGCCCCACAGCGGATGGATTTGAAAATGAACATTTGGCCTTACACCAGTCTGGGGGTCTAGCTGGTCTTCCAATAAAAAAAAAAATGCTAGAATTAAACAAGCATAGTTAAATTAATCACCAGGAGAGTCTACAAAGGTGGCAGGTTGATTCTGGGGGAGGCAGGGGTGAAGAACTCGTCATCCATCAACATGAACACCTTGTGGTGGGAGCTCGCTGGCCTGCGGGATGTGGGGACATCCCGACCAGCACCTCCCCGCGGAACGGCCCCCTGGCTCCCGGGACTTGGGCTCTGAGGGGGGCTACTCCATGGTACCTTCTTGGTACTTGTAGTTCTCAGTGACGTCATCCCGCTCGTCGCTCTGGACGCCCTTGGTGCTGATAAAGCTGCCCACGGCGCTCGTGTTGCGGTGCAGTTTCTGCTCTTTCCCACCGTAGACCAGCCAGGACACGCAGTCGGCGTTCACCATGGAGAACGCAAAGGGTGTGTCGTACTTCAGGTCCACTTCCCCTTCCTTGATGGCCTTGACGGAGGCGGGCCCGCAGCAGTAGAGGCCTGAGGAGAGAGGGCCGCGGGTTGCAGGGGGGCTCTGTGGGGGCGGGGCGGGTCCTGCCTGCCTTCCCGCATGTGCTTACCATTGCTGGTCTCCTGAGGTGTGGCGTCCAGCAGCTGCCAGCCCCCGTAGCCAGGAGGGAGGTCCCTGCGAGCCATCCAGCATTCGTTCCACACGTGGAAATTCCTGGGGGAGCGGTCAGAGGAGCCTGTCAGGCAAGGCTGAGGGAGAGGTTGCACCACCGAGTTCATTTGTTTGTTTTTACTTATTTGAAAGGCAGAGCGACAGGGAGAGAAAGAGACAGCGTGGGAGGGAGACAGAGACAGGTCTTCTGTCTGCTGGTTCACTCCCCAAATGCCAGCAACGAGCCAGGGCTGGGCCCGGCGGGAGTCAGGAACCAGGAACTCCATCCGGGTCTCTGAGGTAAGGACTCATGTATGCGAGCCATTGCCCGTTCCTCCCAGGGCGCCCACTACTGGGAAGCTGGACAGGAAGCAGAGTAGCCAGGACTTGAACCAGGCACTCTGATATGGCGCCCCAACTTAACCACTGGGCCAAATGCCCACCCTTGAACTGTTAGATGGAAAGACAGACTTAGCCCACAACCAGGCATGAGAGCTGTAGGGGTAGACAGTGATGGGTCTTCCTCCTGTCAGCTCCTATTCCTCACCCAGAAAAGCGCTGCCCTCTGCTGACTGTGTAAATAGAAAGCAAGGCTTCCGGAGTCTATAGAACCAAAAAAAAAAATCCTTCACTCGCCCTCAGAGAGAGCCTTGTGGCCCTTTTCCTGTGTGTGGCCCTCGTGGCTTTGCCTCCAGAGTGAAGACTTGGCGCCCTCCTGTGCTCAGACGCCAAGGCTGAACACTGGGTAGAGGTGATGAAGGGGTGAACCCAACGCAGGGTGGAGAGCTCTTGGGGTGCAAGGATTCTAACCCCCAAATTAGTGTCTTGCCCAGCTGCCTCCCAGCCTTCTGTTGGAGACGAAAGCCCAGGGGTTGGTGAGTGGTGGAGGGATGGGGCGGGCGGCAGCCTGTGGCCCCTGCTCAGGGGGTGGGCTTGGACGTGCAGCACTGGGGGTGGGCTGCGAGGTCCTCTCACCAGATGCTGTCCTTCTTTTTGTTCTCCAGGATTCTGCCTGTGCTGTCGTAATACTCGTCTATGACCAGGTTTCCATCGGTGTCGTGGCCGGAGTCAAAGTTGGTGATCACGCGGGTGGGGATCCCCAGGCACCGCATCACTGCAGAAAGGGCAGAAAAACTCACTCAGGGGCTGCGGGCTCGGGAACACTGCGGACTCCTGGCCCGCAGGCCCCGGCTCTAGGGAAGTCATTTATTCTGCCCCTGTGGGACCAGGCGGGAGCTGCCTGGGCAGTGGGTTGATGACATGTCCCGCCTCCCTCCCCACTTCCTGAGTCCACAGGAAAAACTGCACAAAAGTTAGAGTGCTGGCTGCTCAGGCAAGCACAGCGGGATGGACAGAAGGAGCCAACAGACAATGTAGCAAGTCGTGGAGTCATCGCTTCTCCTGCCGACACCGGCAGGGCGGGATTGGCATGCCTCCTCTGCTGGCAAGACTCACAGGCCTGACTCAGTCCTCCTCACATCTCTCCTGACCAGAAATCTCCATCTTCAAACCAACCAGCTGGGCATCTCCTCCTTCCTGTTCTCGGGAGTGCTGACTGAGGCCATTGCTTCTCCAGCAAAATGTTCTGTGACTGGGAGTCCCCCTTCCCCTGGATGCGTGATCATGGAAACCTCTCATGGAAGGCTTCACAGATAGAGCCGGGCAGGAAGGAGGCTGTGTCACAAACACTTGGGGAAGTGAGAGCGCGCCCCTGGGAGGGCCACCCTGGACAGGACACCAAGGGCTGCCTACCCCCAAGGGGTGGCCATTCCCTCTGCCAGCCAGCTTCTCAGCATCCCCAGCCCAGCCCACAACCACCGGCCCTGGAGATCCCTTCACACTCAAGGCCAACAGTGATGACCCACCCAGTTCAAGAATGGTCTTTATCCCGAGGCCTACCAGTCAGGCAGGGTGTGAAACGTTTCACCTACGTCATCCTCAGGACAGCACCACGTGGTAGCTGCTGTTATGATCCCCGCAGTGAAGATGGTGGATAAGAAATATAAGAAGACAGGATAAGAAAAGTCACACAGTGGGCAAGGAGCGGAGCTGTCACCGATTCCTGGTATCACAGCTGAGCTTGTACTCGATACTGAGCCTCTTCTCAGCATGCACAGGTCAGCATTCTAGTATTTTCAGCTAATCGTGCATTGCACGAATTTCCCCGTGTTATCAAATACTTGTCCAAAGCGATTTCTAGTGATGGTTATTTTTAGGCATTTTGTTGGTTTCCAGTCTTTCTCCTGTTGTAGGTAAAGCTGCGATGAATATCTTTGTAGATCAATTCTTCCCCACCCCCTGCTACAGATTACAAGAGGTAAAACGACTAAGTCACAAATATAGATATTTCCAGGGCTAGAATTGTGGTGTAGCCAGTAAGCCAACGCCTATGACACGGGCATCACAAATGACTACCGGTTCGAATCCTGGCTGGTCCACTTCCTATCTAGTTCCTCACTAATGCTCCTGGGAAAGATGCCCAAGTACTTGAGCCCCTGCTACCTACGTGGGAGACCCTGATGGAGTTCAGGGTCCTGACTTCAGCTTGACCCAGTCCTGGCCATTGTGAGGACTTGGGGAGGGAACCAGCAGATGGAAGATCTGTCTCTCCCTCTCTCTGGAAATCTGCCTTTCAAATAAATAATCTTAAACATGTATAGATATTTTTAAGGGTTCTCACACATACCACTATCAGGTTTTTTTTTTAAATCAACTGAGTTACAATGTTTTATTTATTTTATTTTATTTTATTTTTTTTTTTTATTTTTTATTTTTGGTGAAAGGCAGAGAGAGAGCGAGTGAGAGAGAGAGAGAGAGAGAGGGAGAGAGATCCCATCCACTGGCTCACTCCCCAGCTGCCCACAAAGGCTGAGCTGACTGGACTGAAACTTGAACCTGGGAACTCAGTCCAGATCTCCCACATGAGTGCAGGGACCCACGTATTTGAACCATCACCTGCTGCCTTCCAGAATCCGCATTAGCAGGAAGCTGGAACAAGAGCCTGAGGCGGGCATTGAACCTAGGCACTTGGATATGGGATGTGGCTGTCTTAACCTGTAGGCTAAACCCCTTTCCTACTATTGTCCTTTTTAAATATTTAGACTTTTTAGTTCAAGTTTTTAATTGCTCATCGATTTAGTTGAGGTTCCTTCTGCACTTTGGCAGAAAGCTGCTCCGGGAGTGGGTGGCGAGGGAAGAGAGAGGCTGAGGGGCATGCCCGGAGCTCTGCCGTGAGAGGCAGGTTTGAACAGGGCTAAAGAACTAGGGCAGGCAGTGGGCAGAGCCAACAGATGACTTACGGGGAAGCGGTGACACAGGACTGCCGCAGAGGGAGGGTGAAGGCTTGAAAAGCTGCCACTGAAGAAATATGAGATGGGAGTGAGGCAAGAAAGAAGCATTGTGTGGGCACATGGATGTTAAAAGTACAGTCAGAAGGGTGGGTGACAAGGTAGCGAGAGAATGTGCCCAGGACGGGTGAGCAGGGAGAGAGGACAGGGAGCACCTCTCCCACCCTTCATCCTGATAGGTGAATTCAGGAACTGCTACTTGAAGTGTCCCTGCGGTGCCAGCGCCTGCTAAATGTGGCTTGGAGGTCACCAGTCTGGTAGCGCTTTGAAGGTCTTGGTTACCCCAGAGTGCATGCGTGTAACGATTGTTTACAAGCCTGTCCTCCGCAGGGCAGGGACTGTGTGTTGCTCATCGTCAGTACTAACAATCCAGGGCAAGGCCTGCTTTGCAGGTGCTTGGTGCATCTTTGCTGGATGGCTGAATGTGAGAGGTCTTGGGAATCTTTGCCCACTCTGGGATTTGCAGTTTCAACACAGCTCTGTCGTAACAGCTGTGTGCTATGTGTTGGGTACCAAGCTCGCTTGTCCACAGAGTGTAAGTGTTGACAGTGATGGGTTTGCAATGCTGCTTTCTCACTCTTTTCTCATCACACCTTGGGAGAGGATGCAGATGGGGGACGGACTGTCCCAGTGGGGCAGGATGAAGCCATAGAGGACCAAGTCGGGTCTCTTACACAGGGATGAGAGAACAAGGCTTTCACCTCAACATCGTGATGCTCAGATCTGTCTGTATGTGTTTCCTGGAGCCTTATTCCCTCCGTCCTTCCATAAAGAGCTTGTCTCTTCTACGGCATCCATTCCCCTGTGCCTGGAACTCCTGAGTATGTACCTGAAGCCTATGTGGAAAACTCACTGTCACTAAACACAGCCTCAAATGAACTTCCTGTCTTCCAACTTTCCCAGCCTTCCTTTCTTGTCAAGGTCATCACGGTGCCAAGCTCTGCACACACATAATCTCATGTAATCCTCTCCACAGCCCTCTGATTATCCATTTACAGATAAGACACCTGAAGCTCAGAGGGGCTGATACTGAGCAGCCTCCATGGAGCCGGGAGACCAGCTCTGGGGCTTGCGTGTTTGTGTGCATTTCTTTTTCTTTTCTTTTTTTTTTTTTTTTTTTAATAATTTATTTATTTGAAAGGCAGAGTTAGAGAGAGAAGGGGAGAGAAAGGATCTTCCACACACTGGTTCACTCCCCAAATATTCACAAAGGCCAGAGCTGGGCTGACCGGAAGCCAGGAGCCAGGATCTTTCTTCGGATCTCCCACATGGGTAGCAGGGGCCAACCACATAGCAGAGAGCTGGATCTGAAGTGGAGCAGCCAGAACTCGAACTGGTGCCCATATGGGATGCCAGCACTGCAGGCGGCAGCTTTACCTGTTATGCCACAGCCCCGCCCCTGATGTGTGCATTTCTAAGGGTTGTCTGGGGGGTCTGAAGTGGTAGCCAAGGCCCTTTCACGATGCACTGTCCCTGTAGTCTAATTCTGTCCTCACAGAAGTCAGGCACTTGGGCCGACAGAGAAGACAGAAATTTCAGTCACGGTTGTGAATACAAACAATCAAAAAGTGGTTTTACAACACACAGCCTCTAGCACAAAATGTTTACTTCAAATATTTCAAGACTTTATACCCAACGTCTAGTTACAGAATACAAGGAACAGCAGTGCAAGGAGCCCCACTAGGGCTGCAGGACAATGGTCCTGGCATCTATGACAAAATCACTCATTGAACACAGAGTGTTTTCTAGGCTAAAAGAGACACAAAGGACATTGTAAGCAGGCGCAATGCTTGGCTCTGGATTAGATTCTGGTTTGTACAGGAAAACACCACAGTCTCACCCCCGCCACCCTATGCCAGCAAAAGGAATCATGGTGAATCCGACAGTGCCACGTCACAGTGACACGCCCTTGATAGGATGTGATGGACTAGCACTCTGCCTTGTGTTCCTCTTCCCCCAAACACACACTAGTCCAGTGAGAAAAATGCCAACAAATCCCAACAGAGGGGATTCCTGGAGGCAGATCCCAGCCCACCGCACAGCAGTCTTAGTGAGTAGAGGAGACAAGGATGTCCCTGCCATCCACACAGGGGACCTGGATTGAGTTCCACGATCCCAACTTTGTGCCAGTTCTGTCCCAGCATATGAGCATGTGGGGAGTGAACCAGCAGATGAGAGTTCTATCTAGGCTGGCGCCGCGGCTCACTAGGCTAATCCTCATCCTGCGGCGCCGGCACACTGGATTCTAGTCCCGGTCGGGGCGCCGGATTCTATCCCGGTTGCCCCTCTTCCAGACCAGCTCTCTGCTGTGGCCAGGGAGTGCAGTGGAGGATGGCCCAAGTGCTTGGGCCCTGCACCCCATGGGAGACCAGGAGAAGCACCTGGCTCCTGGCTTCGGATCAGCCAGGAGGAAGTACCTGGCTCCTGGCTTCGGATCAGCGCGGTGCGCCGGCCGTAGCAGCCATTTGGGGGTGAACCAATGGAAGAAAGACCTTTCTCTCTCACTGTCTAACTCTGCCTCTCAAAAAAAAAAAAAAAAAAAAAAAAAAAAGAGAGAGAGAGAGAGTTCTATCTGTCATTCTTTTTCTCCCTTTTGAATTAATTAGTAAGTAAATAAAAAAGACCCAATGGAACTTCTAAAGGGAGGAAAACATGTCCTATGACACCAAAAACATACTAGAATAATGCATGAATTCAACAATTTACTTTTTGGTGAGAAAACATTCAAGAACAATGCTACACATAAAACAAATTAAAATGCTCACCT